GCATATGGTGTGAAATATTCACGAGACGACTGAGGTACGAACCTGAGACCTCTTGGTCGGTGGCCAAGAACGGGGCGCGAATATTTCGCAGTCTACTTCGCGTGCTCGACTATAGACGCTTGGATAAAAGCTCGTATCCAAGCCAATTGAACACATGGTTTTGGAGTGCAACATTACCATCGATATGCCAGTAGCAGATGCATCAATCTCATGGACAAACACGCGGAGTGTTGCCATATTGACGAACTGACCCAACAGTCCATATGGGAACTTTTTAAGGTGAGCCGGTTGGTCAAGGGACCGGTTCGATGAGGGAAAAATATAAAAAAAGAGGGAGGAAGAAAAAAAAGGGAAAGCGCAGTTATGAAAATTAAATTATGAAACCGCCACGGGGAGGACCGATCCTTTTCAGGGTTGCCATAATTTGGTCATCTTCAAATTTCCTGACTATTTTTGCTTTTTCCTGACTCCAAAATTGTCAAATTCCCTGACCTTGGAACAAAATTTCAACGGTTGGAGGATCAGTGATTTGCGTCAGTGATTAGGTAGTATATATGACACATGGGTCGGAAATTCCCTGACTTTTCTCACGAAGACCCTGACTTATCCTGGTCGTCGCAAATTCCCTGACTTATTTCCCGGTTTTCTAGACCGCAGGCATCCTGCAGTTTTGCATAAGGGGCTGAATCACTGGAACTTGACTCCTGAAATCTGGAGACTTAAAATTTCTCATAAAATATGCATAAAATGTTTAGAAAATATTCTTATGGAGGGAGAGGCGAACTCGCACATATTGCTTAGGAATAGCGATTAACGGTCAAAAGGAAAAAATGCGACGTTGGATGAAGGAGACGCATTCAGAGATGGTCCATTAAAAAAGTTGCGACTGGATGATCAACCCTGTGGATGCAACTATTCGTGTTTAGCGGATGTCAGTGTTGCATAGGCAGTGAAGTGAAGGCGCACTATTGCGCGTTCGTGCACGGCACAAGAGCTACGCGGCGTCGCGTCGCATCACTGCGCCACAACAATAGAAACTAGCTTATACTGTGCTGAAAATTTCTACTTCGGTCTTAGTATCGGGTAAAGCTATTAAACAGGGTGTCCGGTTTTTTTTCATTTGGGGAAGTCCTGATGAAATCCTGATTTTTGACTGCTAAATCCTGATTTCAGAATGTTTCCAAATCCTGATTTTTGGCGGAGAACCTATAGCTTCACAAAAATAGCTCGATAAAAAAATTCGATCGGACGGCCGACTTTTCTCAAAACCTGATTTTACGACCATTTTTCCTCAAATCCTGATGGTATCGCGATTAAATCCTGATTGACCTCAAATCCTGATAGAATCGGGAAAATCCTGATGCTAGACACCAGCTGTTAAACTTCTTGAGTGTAATTTTATCCTCCTCAAAAGGCGGGACTCGTTCACTTGCGTGGTTTAACTAGACCAGGAGTAACGGAGATAATGGAACATCGGACGGGGCAAATATAGAGGTATCAGCGGCTTTAAGATAGGTACTTTTCCTAAGACATAATTTTTAGTCAATTTTTATTTTTATTTTATTGTTCTCGTTGAGGTTAAATTCGGACAACCTGATTTCACCGAATAGAAAAAAGCCGGACTAACATCCGTTAATAAAATAGCTCTCCATCTTGGATGGACGCATTTCTGCCAAACGGAACTATGTGCAATAAGACATGAGCCCTGAGACGCATGAGAATATATGCTTGCCAGGGCTCACGTTGTAACGCACATAGTTCCGATTGGCAGAAATACGTCCAGCTGAGACTCAACACCCACAGTTCACAGCTCGCCACAGCTCAACGTTCCGGCGTTTTTCAAAATAATTCACCAGAACTTGATGGAGTTGCCTATCGCCCGTCGAATGAGGCAAGCTGAGATTAGCTAACGGCAAGACTCTTTCCGGAATCATCCAAAATCTCGAAACTCGTGCTCCGCACATCGACGTTATCCATCACGAACGAAAATCATCCGGGTTTTACGAGCAATCGTGAGGGACTCCTCTAAATTTTATTCAAAAAACCACAACACTGGATATTCTAATGGTCTGGAGGCAGGGCGCCCTAAGATCGGGCGAAATTTCAGCGCGGAAGCGGCACTCGAAAACGCAAAGCTAAGCTGCCGAATGGGTATAAATGGACCACTCTGCCAGGCCAAGGAAAAACGCCGTATGAGCCTTCAGGCGTTGCCAAATTTCATTAGCTAAAACACGAATTTGCCGGTAAACTTCTGAATGTTTTCCTGCCAATTTTTCAGATAATTTTGTTCGCAATTTGTCCCTGAAAATTTCAAGGAAAAATATATCTTTCCTCAAAAATAAACATTTTATCGAAGGAAATGTGACAACTCTCGAAGGTTCATACGGCGTTTTTCCATAGCACGGTAGCACTGGACATTAAGCAACACCATACACGTTGCCTTGCCGAGACTTTACTTAAAATATGGTAGATTTATTACAACCCTCAAAATTTAACTCATAAGTTAGTAATAACAGGTCTTGTCAAAAGTTAATTCTCACTTCCTCTCTCAGAAAAACTGGAGTTGATTCCAGTCAAATCGACAAGGTTGCCATGATTTCTTCATCTTCAAATTCCCTGCCTTTTCCCCGACTATTTTTGCATCTCTCAGACTCCAACATTTTTGGATTCCCTGACATTCGATTTGGAATAAAACTTCCACTTTGATTTTTTTCCTTTGAAATTACACTAATTTCTGTTAAAAGCTAAACGAATTAAATTACCCGACTTTTTGGGTGAATTCCCTGATTTTTCCCGGTCGCCGCAAATTCTCTGACGTTCCCGGTTTTCCAGACCGCCGCGCCGGAAACCCGGAATCGAACACTGGACTGATGTCGGTATAATTTACATCGGAAGATTTTTTCTTATGTAGGCATAACTTTTCACTGACAAGATGAAAGGTACTTCCAGGGTTGCCACAGAATTTAGAAAATGAAATTCCCTGACATTTCCCAGATACATTTTGGTGAAATTCCTTGACAGTTGAAGGTGTCACGGATGGTTAAGAAGGCATAATTGAAAATAGTTTTCAGGCAAAATTTCTTGTTCAAAATCTCAAACCCATTCTAGATAGCAAATGGAAGTGATTTGACAAATCCGGAAAAATCACTCGTGACCCACGATTTTTCCATCAGCCGCCGTGTTAAAAATGCGCCTTCAATCCAGTCAGCGGCAATGTGCCTATCTGCCTCGACCTGTGGTCGACTAGTTATCGCAAATAACTCTCGCATTGCGTTTGGTGCAATGCGAGAAGTATTCACGCAGTCTTGTAGGCGCTAATATGCGTTTGACGCCAACCGCACTATTTGGCGCAATGCGTGAAGTGTTCCGACAGTCTTGCAGGCGCTATTATGAGTTTGACACCGACTGCACCGTGTTCGGCGCGATTGTTCGAACTCGCGTTAGGATAATCGCGGCATCGAAAAATGGGGCTTAAAAGGCACCTGTTGTGTTTCGACGCCGTATGAGCGGTCCAACGTTGCCGCGTTTCTCCCGATAAGTAAAGGGTTTTCTACCATTACCTACTGAAAAAATTTCATTCTGATAGGTAAATTAATTGTCAAAACTAAGTACATGTTTAAAAGGAAAATAATTTTTTTTTTCTTAGTGCATGGGTAAACAAGAATAGGATCGCGTTTTCTTAAACAGCAGTTTTGTGCCGTCCAACTTCGAATCTGAATGGAACCTGCACCATGAATTTCTTTTCAATTTCAATCTTGTTTAATATCTGACAGCCTAGAATTAATTTCTTACTACAGAGAGGGCAAAATCTTTATCAAGCCTTCAGAAGATGGGGACATTCTCAATTACTTAAGAATACCACATTTTGAATTGATATGTTTGAGATTTAGCTTCAGTGCTGAATGAGGATAAACTTGAGCAGACGAAAAGTGGATAAATATTTGTACTAATGATCATTGTTAGTCATTGTATCGATTCAGTTTTGATTGATGATACTCTTATCCTTTTTAAATATAATTTATGAGTATTCTAGATTTCTTTCTTTTCATCGATTAATTTTGATTCCTAACGACGAGGAAAATAGTTTTAGATCAGTCAGAATAAACTGTTTGCCTTTGCTGATAAGGCTCTCTCTGGGACTGTTTTGCTATTATTATTTCGAGTGTGATTACATGATTATAGTACGAAGTATTCGGGATTGCTAGAAAGCATAACTTCAATTGAATCAGTGAGGATGAAAACACACCACCCCTGAAAAATTAAAATGTATAAAAGACACAAAAAACTGCACAGCAGGTAAAGAAGTTGGCAACAGAAAAAGGCGCCACTGTTTCAAGCATTTTTGACTGCGATTCCAAAATTTCTTTTTGGGTGTAGATGCGGTAAACCGTAAAAAAGAAAAAATCTAAAATAATCTGATCCGGTGCATGTATTCATTCTCACTGGTTCAATTTGCCTTGCTCGAAATCAGTGAAACTCAATTAGCAACATTCATGATTCAAAGACATCTTACTAAAAAGAATGGGCAAGCACATAGATTTTTCAGAGTCAAGCTAACAACTTTCCATAATAATGAAAAAGTTGAAATATGAAAATGAGGGAAGTATGTTGACAATGAAACTCCCAAACGATGTATCTCGTTTGCGGTGTTTTAAAATCTCCACTTCAATTTTATTTTTTCGAAGATAAACAAATAAGAATTATTCCTTGAAATTTTAAAATAACTTTTTCCGCCTAGAGAGGAAAAATCAAGAAAGTTTTGAAGCATTTACATTGAATAGTTTTCGCTTTAAAAAAATAAAAGTATGACAGGAAGGCTTAAATGTTGTGAACAGAAATACGTCGTTTGGGAATTTCAATGTCGATATAATTTTTGGTTACGGCAAGATCTTTGTCATTATGAGAATGTTTGCTAAGTTTGACTTTCAATCAGTTTCAGTTCAGTTCAATTTTAACAGTTTGGAACAAAGTTTTAATTTTTACAAAGATATTAAAGAGAGTAGATTTCAAATTATCTATTCCGATTAAAAATGAACATAATAACAAATATTGAACAGTTTTCAAATACGAAGTACTATAAATGAAAAATATAACCAAAAGAATGGATTTTAACAAAGTCATTACAGTGGGTTTGAAATCAAGAAAATAAAGAAGAAAAAAAAAACATTTCTGACACTATAAGGCTTGGTTAGAATTTTCACAATTCAAATTATAATTTTGTTTATATGCACTTTGAACATTAAAAATAAATACAAAAGATACAAAAATACAAATCCAAGCTCTGAAATTTTTGGAGAGGGTGATTTTAAAACAATATAATGTCAACTTTTCAGCTTATGATCCTGCTGGAGGCAATTGGAAATGAAGCCTTCACTATACACCAATTAAAAGGCACTGCGTGTTGAATAACAAGTACAAAATTACAAATACACTCTGAATAATTAACTTCAAATGTGGCCACCTATTGTCGGTTGTTTGTTATTAAATACTTTATGGGCTATGACCTGCGTGACTTTTTCATTTCATGAAGGACAATCTTAGAGCACACATTTTTTAACCACACTTTGTGGGAAGGCAGTTATTCATCACAGGATGTAAATTACATTAAACTTAATAATTATTGAAATCATTAGGTTATTAATCAAATGTCAACTTGAATAAATGACAAGAGTAGAAATCAGAGAGATACCCTAGAGAGAAAAAAAACCATGAGCAATACAGAGGAGGAAGAAATATTACAAGGACCTTTAATGTTAATCCATACGAAAATGATTATATGAATGACTTGAAATATTACTGGATGGTCGACTTGTTGACGATATGCAGGTGTCTCGATTTTATTTTTATGAGATGATAGGCTCTCAAAATTGTAATATTAGTTGAGTACTAGAATTTTTCTCTCAAAAGGTGGGCGATTAAAAATCTGTTTTGGCAACGCTTCTAAACTTATTTTAGCATCATAGATAGCCCAATGTTAATCTGTTTTAAACTATGATTACATTTTTGAGCTGTTTGGATACTTGGCCATAGAAAAAAGTATTTCTAGTCCAGTAAGCATTGGAATCCAAAAATTAGAGGCTTTAAAAGGGCAATTTTCTCTAGAAACATGGGTCAAATGTTACCTATGATGTGTAAAAACAACATAATACACTTAGAAGAGGAGATCAAAATCTTTTTACTCAGAGAGATGTTGGCGAGAAAAACAAGTCTCAGGTAATGCAAGGGTGGTTTGGTTGCGAGAATTATTCAAACCAGAAAATTGGATTGAATAAAATGTTAGAATATTCATAGTAAATTCGATATACTAGAGACAGGACGGTTGGCAAACCAGAATTAGTTTTAAAAAAATAGTTCCTAGGACCTGAGACCTCAACTTTTTACTGATCGTAATTTGGTTAAAATTATCAGTGGATCTAAGACTATTTCGGCGCCTTCCTTTATGCTCGGCAATGAGACATTAACAAAGGAGAGAATGACATAACTATCTTTTTTTCTCAATGTAGTCTTACATAAATGCAATGGGCCGAGGAAAATGTTGAAAATTTGCGAGTTCAATACTAAGATTCAAGAGAAAGGAAAAACTGATAAGCCAACTTTACCCCTCAGCATGTCCTTAACAAAATGGTAATTTTCAATCACATAAATCTTCCAAAATCAACAGATAAACAGAGGAAAAAGAAAATTTGGCAAATTTGAGAATTGCTCTTTGGTACAGTTATGTCTCCGGGAGGATAGAACTCAACTGTTTCTACATATCACAAATTGAGGAGGAAAAGCTCGTTGAAAAATTTCAAACTTGAGATAACAGTAGTTGATTACTTTTCAAATGGTTCACAAAACGGCTCTTTCGACACAATTTAGGGGAAGACAGAAGATACGGTGATTCAAAGCACTTCTATCACTATGCCAAATCACAAATTTAAAGCACGATTTTTTTTCGTTTTGAAGAAACCAGACATCAATAAAAAGTAACAGGTCCAGTAGATGACAAACAACCTCAGCACAAAATAATTATAAATTACTACAGTGGAAGAGGTAACAATACATGTAAGAAGCACTTACAATTGAGCAACGTTAGGTTGACTGGGAGTGTCTGATTGAGATATGAAAATACAAAAAGGGATGAAAGTTCTGACAAGGAATAGTATAATATATATATATATGCCCGGCTTGTAATACTTTAAAGACACTGTAGGTAGTGGATATGCCCCTAGGGACACTGAACGTTCCAAAAACTTTGGGAGTCATTTATTAATTCTGCACATAAAAATTCAAAATAAAATCTTTCAGTAATGGCTAAAACCACAAATTCTCTGTTTGTTCATCACCGACAAGTACGCTGTCGTGTGTACTCTATAGATCAATGACTTTGAAGCTGAAGAAATAATTTGGAAAAAAGGGAAAAAAAGAAAAAAAAGATGAAAAATACCAAATCTGCTGAAATAGAAACATGATTTCAAAATATTTAAAGATAACAAATCAAGCTTACTTCTCCGAGCGTATTTTTGAAGGCAGATAACAGGGGGATAAAGAGAGAAACTAAGCTTGAAAGCTCTAGTAAAAATATTGCCTGAACAGACGTGATGGACATTCTTGAAAAAGTTAGATCTGATTAATTGCTCTAATAACCACCTTCAAAATTAAACTGATAACTTAGCTACATTTTTTGGCAGCAAATGGTAAAATCTCTTAGAACTCAGAGGGCTTTAAGTTTGGCCATTGATATGATATACTTGCCAAAAAAAAATACATGCTTGGAAATAGGGAATGTTTGACAATCCACCCATGATGTGAGAAAATTATATTTTTACAAATAATTCACTAGAATTCAATTTTTGAGGATATAATAATGCAAGAAATTGAATTTGTAGCTTGACGAGAGAGGGATTTGAAGGAGATACAAAAAGTGTAAATGGATTAATCGTATTCATCATAGTCATCAACCCCATCCAACTCATCGCACTGGAAGTTTTGAAAGTCCACCTTGTAGCGGAGAAGCCCTCCAATTCCACCAAAGCCTCGCACAAACTGGGAACCTTCCTGTGACTTGTCTGTGATAATTTCTAGAGTTGTCCCGAAGCTCTTGTAATTGTTGGCTAGCCACTCAAGTAATGGCTGGCACTCGACTAATTCTAACTCGGTTCCATCTTCATTATTGAAGTGGGATTTGTCCTTCTCTTGATCGGGAGTTAAATGCAATATTTTAAGTTCCGGGCTGCCGGCAGGACCTTTGAGAACATAACGCTGGATGTCGAGATTTTCCCAGCAGATGAGAGTTTCTACAGCTCCCAGTTCTAGGGCACGAAGAGTATCATCAACTCCAAAACAGTACTTGCCGGTGTCTTGACTAATTTCATCAAAATATTTGCTAATTAACTTCTTTTCTTGTATAAACTTCACATTTTGAAGTGATTCAGCGGCCAACTCAATAGCTTGGTTGAATCCATTCTCACCACCATAAGAGACATCAACCAGTTTGATTACTTTTGCTTGTAGACGAGGATCAAACATGTCAGACTGACTTAATTCTGTTTTGAAATCCGCACTACCAGCTAGCACTAAGCCCGAAACATTTGGTTTATCATTAGTTATGAACAAGGAAACTGCTGTTTCTGCTACTTTCCTAACGTAGTTGTGCCTCTTCTCCATACGTAAACGGGCAAAACGTAAAGCTGACTGTCCTCCTCGACCGTGCTTTTTGGGAAGATCGACTGTAAATTTATGCAAAACTTCTCGGGCATTGCCTTGAAGAGTACCAAACAGGGAGCCATTTCCGTCCATGACAATAAAACCGAACTTATTGTCATCAGCTAACAGTGCTGAGAGAGCTTCAGTGTGGAACTTGTTATCGCAGAGATATAGTGAGGTGTTGATAGGTTTAAAAGGCTCAAAATCAATATTGACTTTCTTTTCCTTACCTTCTTCAGTAACAATGGTTCCACAATAAATAACCAACCCATTTGGCGGAACTTTTGAGTACAGTTTAAGACGCTGCTGGACAGAGGTGATTGCACCCAGCACGGAAAGTCGATTCACTCGGGATTTGATGTTTGAGGCTGTCCCAAATTCATCTGCCAACATTTTGCTGACCCGGGAAATTTGATCTTTCGGCGGAATAATGAGCGATATCATACTCGTACCATTTCCGCGTGCCAATTCCAAACTCTTGATTAGTTTTTTGATTTTCCAAATCTCAACATTCCTATCAGATGAGGTCCCTTCCTTTGAGTAACCTGAACAGAGGTGAAAATTTAGTTGGTAGAGATTCAACCACAATAAAAACATATACTTAAGTATATCCAGGTAAATCAAAACCACCCAACACTGTCAACTTAAAGAGGTGCCTAAGCAAAGAAAAATGTCACTTGAGAGTGCAAATGCGTGAAAAGCAGTATTAAAATATTTACAAAAGAAAACTGTTAGTAAGGAATATTCATTAAATAAAGTTTAATGCTAATCAATTGTTAAAGAAAACATTCTGGCAGCAGGTGATAGGGTAAAAATATCGCCCATTATTTCCTATTTACGTCTACCATCTACTCAACCGAACTAAATCTAGAAATACTTCATGAAACCAGAGCATAGGTACTATGAATTTTAGAGAGATGTCATGGTGTAATCTAGCTGATTAATAAACACATGCACTTTCAGAAAGTATTCACATTATCCTAATCCTTCTTCATACACATTCTTATTAGCTACATACAAAAAGAGCAGAGAGATAGTGATCTTCGATAATTTATTTACTCAATGCTTGTTAGTTACGGTTAGCAAAAAGAATTATAAATTTTGAGATGGTAAGGAATAACACTTTGTAGGTAGATGACTTCTAATAAAAATTTATGCAACTATTGAAAGATAGGAGGGGGACTCCTTGGCAATGTCCTAAAACTAATGGACTTCAATGTAAAGGCGCCAAAGGGATCGTGGATTTCTTTCTCTACATATTCAGAAACCAGTAAAATCTAAGCTCAAGCCTTTTGAATCCACTCTAAAGTTATTGTAGAAAATTTTCCACACCACATTTTTCTTCTTTACTTTTCCTTATCAATAAGACAGCAATTAGGTACATGGGTAACTAGAGGCCATTCCGTTTTTAGCAGACTGCACACTCATTAAGGAATGGCTGTGCGCCTTGTCAAGAAGCAACAGAATGATTAACGAATTATAGCCAACATGTTGATGTTCAATACTTAGTCATAGTGAGATTTTAACATGATCCTTGAGTTTTGACAATTAAATTACCTACCAAATCAGAAAGAATGGTATTGGATGGGCCAAACAATTTTTATTTCCTCACTTGCACGGTTTCTTATTAAGTTCAGGCGCATTTCAGCTGCCCCCAGCATCCAAAATGTGTCCAAACGTAATAGGAAATCAGGCACGTGGGTAAAGAAACAATTTTATGAAAACAATTGTTCTCGTGCAATACCCGTACCTTGTTTTTTTCTCTCTTCTTTTTCTAGTTGGGCCAAAATTGATCATTTTGGCAATTAATTTTGATTAGAATTAAACTGTAGGGTTGCACTCAAGAAGAAAATTTAGGAGTTAACACATGACCCTATTCTGTTGGGATTTTAAGCAAGATATGAAACGGCGAAGACATCTGAGATAATGAATAGCAAGTGTGTCCCCAAAAAATTTTGTGGCTGTTAAAAATTATTCCAAACTAGACGTGGAAACACTGCGCGGCTTGTGAAGGAATCCAATTTGTTCCAGGACGATCCGTTCAGGTGATACTTAGGGGATCAGTGATTAAACCATAGGAAGGAGCGGATGGGTTACATGCAAATTTATCAAACAAGATTAAGGGACCCAGGATAGTATGGACTATCAAAAGTTCAACTTGATAAGAATTCGCCATAAATTCCAGCATTAGTACCACGCAGGAACTGTATGTCCTTACGGTCAGCCTTTAAACCCTTCCTACTGATAATACTAAGATGGATGCTCCATATTGATGTTAAAGTAAGTCATCGACTGAAACCAAAACTTAGTGGTTCCTTTCGAGTTCTAGATTATTAGAACAGTTTAACCACAAATTGCTGATCAAATTCCGGGCTTGAAATTTTAATTAAGCTACGAAGAGAGTAAAGTTAAGAAATTGAGCTCACCTAAATCATCCATTTTGTCCAGTTGGCCAAGCTATCAATATTTCCAAGAAATCGTGGATAAAAGCTCAATTGAGGGAGAAACGATGGTTGAATGGAGTTGATAGAATCACTGACGTTAAAACAAATACTACATAAGCCAAGAAACCACGCGATTTTTATTAAATTTCAATTAAAATTGGGGTGAATCGCGGGTTGACAAAATTCCACGCAAAGGAATTTTGCGGAAAAGGAGGTTAGTGGCATTCGCAACAATCAACAAATTTTTCTCATCGATGTCTTGGACACCCGGTCTAGGTTATGTTTATTTTCATATTATCAGTCGTTCGAACCGAAAGATTTACTTTTCGCCTTACTTTTAATTTAATTCCTTCGGTTTTTGCTGTGTAATCGGCAAAGCTTTATTTTTTAAAGTTGCTAGTGCTGCTAGATTTACAACCATGTTTTTTTCCCGCTGAGCAGGACAGTTCTAAGACTTCAAAATGAAGAAGGAAAAAACAGCTGATAATGCCAGACCCTTCAAACTTTGTGAGTTACCCATGTTTTTCCAAGCTAATGAAGTTTTAAAGATATTCAAAATTACTCGAGTAGACTTTGTTAGTTGGTTTACAAATATTATGCCCAGTATTCCACTGAGAACCCTTAGATGCAGAAGGAGATGATGTATGTAGAGCGGGCGCATCGTACGTTGACACAAAAGTCAAGGTATTGTTCAGGTCATCACTGATCAGTGGTGCCATCTGACTACATGTATTGTAAGGTGCGTTGTCGAAGTAAACTTTCCGTTTGCGTTGGGCTGCTCAACGCTAACGGATATCACATGACTGTTGACTTACCCGTTGGGAAACGCGTTGTCGGTCGTCTCTGTTGACTAAAAACTGTTTTGTTTTGAGTGTGACACTGCGTGCACAATTACATTTAGAGGGTAGCTCAACGCTCTCAACTACCTCCTGAGACTGATGACTTGTTGACTTCCGTTTGGTAAACAGTCCAGGACATCGGGCAATCCAAACGGAGTCGAACAACGCCGAGCGTTTGGAATCGGGTAATTCCGTTGCCCAATGGTCCCAGACAGTTTACTTCGACAATGCAGCTATCCTATTGAGTGGTGCTGATTCTGAGGTAATCAGAGATTCACATTTGTCTCAACATACGATGCGTCCGCTCCAGCACTATCCTAAGCTGCATTGTCAAGGTAAACTGTTCGGGAACGGAATTACCCGATCCCAAATGGTTGGCGTTGTTGGACATCATCAATATTACCTGATGACTTGTATGTTTATACATGAAAGCCTACCAAACGCTCAATGATTTTAGCAGGTTGATGGGACCTTTCGGGTTGCGTTAGCAAATAGAATGGAATCGGACAAGTTTACTTTGACATCGCACCTCTAAGTAATGGCATAGCTAACAAGTTTGTAAAATTATGAAGTATAGAAACTAACAGTGCTGGATGGGGATGAAGACTCTAAAAAATAGCCAGTTTAGTATTGAACACATATCCGAGAGAAATTTGAAACCTTAAATCCGGCTATTTTAATGGAATATTTTCCTTCATGTACCATGTTAAGAAGCATAATGTGAATCCCAATTGAATCAGTTTTTGTTAGATGGGCATAAGTCCAAAACTCATGAGCCCTGGCTTTCGTTTATCACGCAGGCTCATGAGGTTTTGGATTTACGCCCGTCAAACAGAAATCGATTCGATTAGGTTCGAGGCTGAAATGTAAAATCTCCATGTTAGTCAAGCACAAGAATTTACTCAGTATTGGCAATTAAAATAACCTGCCCTTCATCCTTATAATTTCTTTCTTCAATACTTACCTTTCATTTTTGTCACAAATCATCTTCTTTTTTTTTTTCAGCGCACCAAATTGTCAGTTTGACAGGCATAAATTTCCAGAGGAAGAGCATAATTGTAAGTATTTTCTATTTTCCAAATTTTTTTATTTCACAAAATATAACAGTATAATTTATTCCACCATTCAATAAAAATGGTTGTCGGTCATACTCACACATGCAGCATTAAGTACTTATTATCAAGTATCAACAGAAACATTTTAACAATGAAGTTCCCAAACCATGTATCTCGGAAAACCTGATTTTTAAAAGGGAAAATAATTATCTTAGACGGCCAAGATAAGATGCTCTTTAAGACTATATCCGAATTTTGAAAACTATTCCCCTCTGTCAGTGAAGACGGTGGAGATACATGATTTTAGATTTATGGGCCAACACATAATAGCACTATTTTACCACCTTGTTTGAAAATGGATACTTATTTTTTAGTAAATATTTTATTTTTCTTGATTTATCCTTCAGGGTTTTGTGGAGTTGACTATAGTTCCTTTGAAAGATCATCTGAGGTTTATCAAACTAAACGCAAAACAGTGCCGTGTCTACAGAGTTTGCCTAAATGACATCTATGAAGCTCCTTTCCAGTATTTTGATCCATTTTTAGACGTTTGCCAAGGTGCCACCAATGAGTAAGCCTGCTTTACTATGTTTGAATTCAAGTATGAACAAGGAAAATCAGTGTTTTAGACTGATTTTTTTAATGAATTTGCGTATTTTCTCTCAGAAAATAAATTTATTAATTAATATCAATTAATAAAGATGTATTTTCACTAAAACAAAACATCTCTTTGATTCATCAACACTGTGATAAGGTATGTCACATGCAGAAAAAATACACCGTCCAAGGCAAAAGTGACTGTATCGTTGTGTTAAGGCTTTGTAGTGGAGTCAAGCCTTTACAAAAATAAGAAAATGGAGTTTTGTGTAGTTAATACAAAAGAATAAAAAATAATCTGATTATATTTTAATAGGTGTTTTGTGTAATACTGTTGAGAAGGAACTGTAGAATCTAATCATGGCTAAAAAGACATCATGAGCGTTTTAATATTTCTTAAATGATTGTTATGGGAGAGTAAATACATTAATTTTTGCCTCTATATTTTCTCTTCCTTAGTAACATATCGACGATGTAAGTCAGCAATCTCATATCTCGTTTTCGGTGTCTGAAAATCTCCGCCTTCTGGTTTTTTTTTTTTAAGGAGAACAAATTGGCATCATTCCTTGAAGTTTTTGCAGAATTTTCTTCGCACAGAAAAGAAAAATCACGGCAGTTTTAAAGAATAGCCAACGAGTAGTTTTCTGTTTAAAAAATGAAGTATGACAGGAAGTCTGTGACGTTTCAAACCGAGTTATGTGATTGCCAACTTACACCGTTGGTATGAAATATTAATTAAGAGCTGTCAGCAACTGTAATGTTTAGTTAGAGTCATCTCTCTGCAGCACTAGGTGAAAGATTCACCAAGGAACACAAAAGTTTGGGAAAAGAGAAAATGATTCAGGAATGAAATTCACCATTGTAATAAGGTAATTATTACTCCTAGCCATTCCAAAGTAAGTACATATTTTCAATGAAGAAGAAGAAGAAAATATTAAAAATTGATTTATCCTTCGTTGAGTACGGTGGCTCCAACATTGGACTCTGTGTACGAATTAGTGTTTTAATTCCTTTGGATACCATGATTAAATCTGGACTTAATGCTTTTCTTGATTATTTCTAGACGTTCGCTGGATTTTTTCTCAAATGCTCACCAAACTGCTGCTTTTCAAATTGACCCAGATCACAACGCTGGTGAGCTTGTGATTAGCATTCCTGCTGAAGCAACCAATCTGATACAAGAGGGTCGCTCTGTTAGGATTGGAGTTGAATTCTCCTTAGAGCAACCGCAGGGTGGTATTCATTTTGTTATCCCTGATTGCGAAGGATCCTTAGCAGAGGTATTTACAATTTTTGAGCTGTGTATTTTTGCCAGAATGTCTTAACTGAAATTTAGAGAGTAAAGGCAAATTACCTCTCTAATTTTTGTGACCTTCTGAGTCGCAGAATCTCTAAGAAATAAGTGTTAGAATCCACCAAGAGGTGACAGCAATTCATGTAGACTGTAAATCTCTAGCCTTTAAGAGATACGATCTTTTGAATTAGTACATTTCAAACATTATGCTTTTGAGTTACTCGCATTAATACTGATTATCCTAAGTTTAAGCTATACTCATAAAAAACTGGAACGGTTGATTATCTAGTTATGAGTAGTCCAAAATATATCTTTAGATCTTGTGAGAAAGATTGTTCCAAAATAGACACTAGTCCAATAAACAAAGAAAACTTTGAAATCGTGTATAGAGTGATTTAATGATTTCCATTGGTCTTTTGCGAGAGACAATGGGAGAGAAACTGTGGATGGTATCCATAAACAGCGTATTTTCATTGAAAACTCTTTATCAGCTCTTATCATTCAAGGGGTTAAAGATAAATTCATTCCTCTTGTGCAACACTGAATTTAGGATGACAGGGGCCCTGGGGTAAACCTGCGATGGTAGCTCGCAAAAATTCCCCTGAAAATCATGCTTTGAAGCTTTCAATATACACTTAGGATAGGCCTTTCAGAAATACTACGGAATATTCACAGAATTGAAAATTTTAGGATTAAATTGAAGAAGAATTATTATTTCTGACGGATATACTTTAGCAGTCCTTACCATAATAATAAAAAAAAAACCCTCAACCGTTTTGCAACTGTCTCTTTAAGATGCAAAGATACCTAAATAAAGAAGAAAAAACCTTTTGATGGAAACCATAGGGCAATTTCCATGATCGCCCTCCTTCCCTGAATCTGGTATTGCTCTAGTGTTTCATTTTAATATATTCAATGTGCAATCATCGTATCCTAAAAGATGTTATTTTTCAATATCCAGCGTGGAGCTCACATGTACTCAATGTGCCATGAAAACTCCTCAAGACTGTGGTTTCCTTGTATCGACAGCTACGCTGAGCCGTGCACTTGGAGGCTTGAATTTACAGTTGATGAGAATATGACGGCTGTCTCCTGTGGAGAGTTGATAGAAGTTGTGTATACTCCTGACATGAGGAGAAAAACCTTTCATTATTCACTATCCATTCCAGCATGTGCACCAAACATAGCTTTAGCTGTTGGGTAAGACATATCTCTTTCAAATTATGAAAAAATTACCAAGGGATGAAATTATCTTTTTTCTCCTTTAAATTTATAATCCTTACTCCATGAATCTAAAATTTAAAAATGAGTTTATTTACTTTTTAATCGTCAAGAATAAATGAAAAAAAATGAAAATACCTCATGAGCTGCAATAAAGAAGGAGGGTACTCTCTTTAGAATGGTTGCCATCAGCCAAACCGACCATGGTTTTGTTGCAGTTCGCAGGCTTGCACCATCAAATAACTATTACTTGAACCAGTAGCATGGCATACTTTGCAATATATCGATTAATCTGCCACTTAAACCTTTGGAAAAAGATCAATGAACAGGGTGTTTGCAATTAATGCCTTAATAATCGATTCTTCACCTTAGCTTCAAATGGAGAACTATCAATAATCGATCATTTACACCTCTCCACTGACTTAAACGTACACCCTCAGCCAATGAAGACTTGCTTGTATGTCATGAACTTTTACAAACATGCCGTCTTGCCTGACATGAATCTTCTTTCTATTACTGTATTCTTTAAAGAAGATACCTTGATGGTACTTAACTTTCCTTTAATAAGCTTTTGAATTATTATTTTCAGGCCTTTTGAGATTTTCGTGGATCCTTACATGCATGAGGTGACACATTTTTGTCTGCCGCAACTCTTGCCTCTGTTGAAAGTCTCTGCAAGGTATATGCATGAAGCATTCGAATTTTATGAAGAAACACTAGCCAACCGTTATCCGTACTCTTGTTACAAACAGGTTTTTGTGGATGAGACAACAGTCGATGTGTCAGCCTATGCTACAATGAGTATTTTAAGGTAAATTTTTCAATTCATTTGGACAAAAGAGGTTGTTCCAAAAACGCCGATTTTGGCCCCCCCCTGGATTTGGCCCAAACTTTGCTCAGATGTTGTACTAGGTGTCCTCGATGCTTGGGCAAAATTTCAGCCCCCTCGGATAATTAGGGGGGAGGGGGCAGGGGGGCAAAGTTGCAATTTTTTCAAAACTTTAAAAATCGATATCTCGCGAACGGTTTGAGTGTAAGTGTTGCGGTTTGCGCTAAAAAACGTTAAAAAATATTCTCTACACGAATATTGATGCTGTTTGCATGGTTGCGTAATTTATCGTAGTCATAAATCGATTTTTTCGATTTTGAAGGTTCGACTTTTTTTCGTTTTTCGTCTCTCCTCTCCAGGCGATTGTTGCTATGTGAATAAAAACCAGTTGAGGTGATTCTCCATAAAATTTTGCATCTACCACACTTTGTTTGACCTTGGGGAAACGATTCATTCTTGAGTTATAGCGATTTTTCTGCGCGTTCCCGGTTACGCGCGGGCGGCATATCGGCGGCGCTTCATCCCCCCCGGGCGAGGCAGAGGTTGTTTCACTGCTAGGGCCTTATATTAATGCTGTAGGCTGTAATTATTGATATTTTCTCCTTCTCCCACCCTTCCCCTCCTATAAGTATGTTTTTTATACTTCGTTATACAGGGTGTCCCGGACCACCCGTACCAGGTCTTTTTCTCGGTTGGTTTAGGTAGTACGAAGTGGGGGACCGCGGGGTTAAACAGGGAATTGACCCCAAGGTATCCGAATTTCATGGTCCCGAAGCCCCCCTACCCTCCCTTGGGGGGTAAAAGAGGGAGGCACAATGTCTCCCGACTTTAGGGATCGTGACCCCCTCTTTACCCCCCAAGGGAGGGTAGGGGGGCTTCGGGACCATGAAATTCGGATACCTTGGGGTCAATTCCCTGTTTAACCCCGCGGTCCCCCACTTCGTACTACCTAAACCAACCGAGAAAAAGACCTGGTACGGGTGGTCCGGGACACCCTGTATAACGAAGTATAAAAAACATACTTATAGGAGGGGAAGGGTGGGAGAAGGAGAAAATATCAATAATTACAGCCTACAGCATTAATATAAGGCCCTAGCAGTGAAACAACCTCTGCCTCGCCCGGGGGGGATGAAGCGCCGCCGATATGCCGCCCGCGCGTAACCGGGAACGCGCAGAAAAATCGCTATAACTCAAGAATGAATCGTTTCCCCAAGGTCAAACAAAGTGTGGTAGATGCAAAATTTTATGGAGAATCACCTCAACTGGTTTTTATTCACATAGCAACAATCGCCTGGAGAGGAGAGACGAAAAACGAAAAAAAGTCGAACCTTCAAAATCGAAAAAATCGATTTATGACTACGATAAATTACGCAACCATGCAAACAGCATCAATATTCGTGTAGAGAATATTTTTTAACGTTTTTTAGCGCAAACCGCAACACTTACACTCAAACCGTTCGCGAGATATCGATTTTTAAAGTTTTGAAAAAATTGCAACTTTGCCCCCCTGCCCCCTCCCCCCTAATTATCCGAGGGGGCTGAAATTTTGCCCAAGCATCGAGGACACCTAGTACAACATCTGAGCAAAGTTTGGGCCAAATCCAGGGGGGGGCCAAAATCGGCGTTTTTGGAACAACCTCTTTGAATCTTATTCTAGTTTTCAAAGAGAAGACTTATGTATGTAACTATTTACTTTTTTTGGGGGGGGGGGCTGAACAGCCAGTCTGTTTTTTCTTATTCCTCTTCTTCTTTTTTAAAAGTTATCTTTTGTGGATGATTATGACTAAATATTGATGGGAAAACAAGGAAACACGTATGCTGCTTTGAATGTGGCATCCTTCTTGCCATGCCTATTTTTATATTTGAAGGATTACAAATTATTATATTATATAATGTAATTATTATTATATTATTATTATATAGTTACTCCAGGTAAGCATCTGGGAGGGCGTCCAGCCAAACAGTGGGTAGAGGGCATTCGTCAAGGGATGGAGAGATGCCAGCTTCCGGAGGATCTCTACCATGACAGATTCCTGTGGCGGGTAGGCATCACAGAGTGCCCTAGCGCGCCACAAAAGCGACTTATACATACTTACAAATTATTATCATTAAACAAAATTTTATGTGATTTTTCCTTGATCTCTCAAGGTTCTTGAATACATTCCTCGAAAATATCATGCAAAAATAGCAGGTCTTTCTCTCTGAAAGAAATGTATTGCATGCCTTCATTTTGAACCGCAACAAATATGGATATTTTTGTTTCTCTACTCTCACCAAATGTTTGTATTCTTTATGTGACGTATTAAAATTACAATCCACCCTTGAAATGCGATAAAAAAGTTGTGGGTTAGGTATTCATTGCTTGATGTTTTAGGTACTATTCTATTTTCAAATGATTAATGATTTTGCCTCTCATTTAGCACAAATCTTCTCCACTCGAGTGCAATAATAGATCAAACCTACATCACTCGCAAAAACATGGCTCTAGCAGTAGCAGAACAGTTTTTCGGTTGCTTCATATCCATGCAAAACTGGTCGGATTGGTGGTTGACGAAAGGCATTGCAACTTATCTTTGTGGACTTTACGCAAAGAAATGTTTCGGCAATAATGCATATCGGGAGTGGATTCAGAATGTAAGCACATACTTACTTTTGTTTTTCCAGTTTGTGAAAATTGGCTCAAGATCTTATGATATTTTTTTCCGAAATAGCAGGGTTTTAACAGTCTCTTATTAATTGTTGCCCTTCAATAGGCAGTAGATTAAAATTAGAATTTGATAGCAGAAAGTTAAAATTACATCTGCAAGTAAATTTTTTGGACTTTTAAACTTCCTGTTTTTCTGTCCTTCGTCTTTTGGTACGTTTCATGTTCTATCAAACCCCCTTTTCGGCAAAATGCCACCTGCACAAGTTGGATATGTACACAAAAAGGGCAGTGGCAAGAAATTTTTGCAGGGTTGTAGTATTGTTTATCACATAAAATTTCATGAAAACCGAAAGTACCAAAAAGCGAAAGTATATTGTAACTTCTAAAAAAGCAAGTCAATATGCAACCCATCAAAAACCTATAGTCAAGCTGTCATAGCAAGATGATGATGCGTGAAGCTGAGTTCAGCCAATTAGCAAACGCAGTTTCTCCTGCCTGGCTATGTCAGCAGAACCCACCAAAAGTATCGGTTCAAACGGGTCCCATTTTTGGCATTTTCAAACAGGGATTTCTTAGCTATTTAGGGTCAAAGATATCAGGAAAAATTCCTCAAAGCTTAGTTCGCTCTGTGTATTTAGAAAATGGTTTTTAAAAAATTGGTGCCACTGACCTATTGTAATGTTATGAAATTGTTCAGAACTTTTTTCCTCTTTTATTATTTGTATGCATCATTGTTTCTTATGAAGGTAGTCATGAATTATTACAGTAATTTTCTTCACAAGCACGAAGAGTGATCATTAAATTTTCTTTAGTGCGAATGTTCATCTCCTACAAAATAGAGTGGCTCTTCTTTGAGACTACGAGAATGTTTGGATCGTAGAGATAATACAATTTTTCTCAGATTTGTATTCTCTTAATGAATTATTTGAGGTGAATGACCTTTCCATTCCAATTCAATCAATCTTGTATCTCATTCAGGAATTACTAGATGTTGTCAAGTATGAAGAAAAGTATGGAGGGATTGTAATGGATCCTGGTCAAGCTCCTGCTCCACTGCCTACTACGACACCATTTCCGCAACTCACGTCGAAACAAAATGACCCCGGCTTCTATTTTTCTACACAGAACATTCACACCATGTCTCCAAAGTACCTAAAGATATTACGCAAGAAAGCTCATCTGGTAATTCGGATGCTTGAACATCGAATTGGGTATGAGCTTATTCTGCAGGTCAGTATCTCTGTTTACTTGCTGATTGTTTAATGTTTTAAGGTGTTTAAGGCTCAAATTTTGTTGGTCAGCGGGCCGATTATTGAAAGTTTAAAGCAGCCCGATAACACATCGAATTGCAATATATTGCACGGTTAAGATAGGGCTTTGTCTTGTCATGTCAGGCCGACATAATTGCAAATTGTGCAAATTGCTTGTACCTCTTACTAGTTTAATCATTTTTCAAAAAACCTTACACTTAGCCAACTGTAAAAACTATTCAGACACCGCGTGCAAACTATTTGGACAACGGGCGCCATCCGTAACCAACACTAGGTAGACGAAAATCTTTTGGTCCAAGACAATGAATTCTTTGCTTCAGTTGATATCTCTTGGGGCATGCTTTTTCTCCTCCTATTAAACCAAATAATTAAAGAGTCGTAATTACATTTCAATGATCAAGTGTAATTTTTTTATTAATTTTGAGAAGTATTCCATTTATTTTTGTTGTTTGTCTGATTGTTTTTTTTTGGGGGGGGGGGAGGAGAGAGAGAGTGACAAGGATTATTCCTGGCATATTCTAGGACTCCTTAAAAATTTACAAGGATTAATGCTGTAGTCTTGGGTCTCTCTACTATTCTTTTGTTACGTTCTATGACTGTGTCTTTTTGGATTTTTAAAGGGTAAAAAAGTCCTAAAGTTGAAGAAAAGTCTTAAAGCTTCTGCAAGTCTTTTCCCTCATTCTTTACACATGGCCTTCTTGTTTCTTTTTGGTAATGTTGTACCAAAATTTAAATAGTATATACTTATTGTTTTTCTTCATTATATCTGTTTTTTTGGTTTTTAGGTCTTAAACAAACAGCTGTCTTTGGCTTGCAATGCATCAACTCAAAAATTAAGCAGTGGCTTGTGGGGTCACATGCTCATCAGTACCAATGTTTTCACAAAAGCTATTTTTACTGTAACAGGACAAGACATGTCCGTCTTCATCCATCAATGGGTACGCACAGGTGGTCACGCTAGGTTTAGTCTTGGCTTTGTCTTCAATCGAAAGAGGTAAATATATAATTTGGAAATTTTGCACTGTGCTCACTTGTGAATGTAGCAATTACAATTGTTTTATTTTGTAATTCATTCATAGTCAACTACTTTTTTAATAATCCTGTTGACATCGTCTAGATGTCTAACAGGCCATGAAGATACAGTAAAACTTCGATATAACGAATTCTTCAAATTAACGAATTTTTTTCGCAGTCCCAAAAAAATCCCTATCTTTTCAATGTAAAATAAATTCTATATAACGAATATTCGCTTTTACGAAGGAAATCCTCGGTCCGAGTACAAACTTTACCACGTAAATCGAACTCAATTTAACAAATGCACAGGAATTTCAGCGCACCCGGCAACACCGCTGGGGAGAAAGCATGCTTGTCTTCACCCGCGTATTGTACGTCGGTGTTGGTGCAAAGGTCATTTTTTGATCCGGCAGGATTGCGAATTTCTGAGGCGCACATGTTTCCTCAATAAAACGGGGTGATTAAGGAGCTACATGAACAGTGTCATCAGTACGATTTCAACCCCTGCCGTGTGCTCCTCACTACCGCTGTGCAGTTTTACTGATCAAGTGCTAACCGGGTGTTTCTCGCCGATTTTCTGTAAAATATCGTCATAGTTTAGGGGGGGGGGGGGGGGTGTACACGAAACTGGAAAAAACTGAACATTTCAAAATAATTGTGGGCTAAAATTGGGTTTTCCGCAGTTTTCGATTTAACAAATTTTCGATTTAACGAATTTCTTTGCCAGTCTCCAGAAATTCATTATATCGAAGTTTTACTGTATGTACTAATTTTTGCTATTTTTTTGTTCGTCATAGGAATACTGTTGAGCTGGAAATACGACAAGATGCGACTCAGGCTCGAGGTGTTAGGAAGTATGTTGGTCCATTACTAGTTTCTATCCAAGAGTTGGACGGAACTTTCAAACACACTTTGCAAATTGAAGGGAATGTCGCGAAGGCTGATATCACCTGCCACTCGAAAAGTCGAAGGAATAAGAAGAAGAAAATTCCTTTGTGTACTGGAGAGGAAGTTGACATGGACTTGAATGTAATGGAGTAAGTGTGTCCAATATCTTGCTCAGTGCTCACTCTCTCTCTCTTTTTGCCCCTTTTTATTTCTGTTTTTTTGGCCAGTAATACTTCATTTAGAGAAGAAATATACAAATATAGAAAAAGTTATCAGAATGATATGCTTATACTGACAAACAGCTGAACAGAATTGGAAAGGAGTACCAGGAGTGTCTTTGTCTCTCTTATCAGTTCACTGTTATTGCTAATAGAATTTTACTCAAAATCCTCTCCAATTTCTCCTGAGTGTAATATTCATTCACTGGATGTTTCAGGGTATATATTATGCCGTTAAATAATTAACCTTCAGATTTTTAGACCAGCTGATCATTATTGTTAAATATTTTGGAGTTTTTCCGTCAAATGAATTTTTATAATCGTTTGCCAACGGCAGTCCAGTCCAAGACTTACACTCCGAAAAATTTGCAATAAACAAACCAATGCACTATTTTTTGCTCCGAGCATCATTAAGTTTACCTTTCCTTTTTTTTTCAAAACAACAGCTCCGAGTCGCCTGTATTATGGATTCGTCTTGATCCTGAGATGACCCTATTGCGGTCATGCATAATTGAGCAGCCAGATTATCAGTGGCAGTTACAGTTGCGGCATGAAAGAGATGTAACAGCTCAATTTGAAGCAGTTACGGCGTTGGAGCGGTACGCATCTGCAGCCACCAGATCAGCACTTACAGATACAATAGAGAATGAGCACATTTATGTTCATGTTCGGTGTAAAGCTGCAATATGTTTGACCAAAGTGAGTGATTTACTTGTTTCCTACGGGTACTGTTGTTTGTGAGAACCGTGCTGGGATAAATAGGTCTTCAAGTAAATAAATTATCTCTGTTGATAGGGAAGTAGGTTTTTCCTGATTGTACCAATGAATGGGTGCATTTTTATTTTGAGAATAAATTATTTGAAACTAGCACATAAAATTGGATACAATTTTAAAATATATGTGTATTTCCCACTCTTACGGACGTCATTTCATTAAAAATAGACGCATTTTGTCCATTTTGGACGGACATATTTAGCAACTGAACTAAGACCTAAATTTTGGTAAGTCGCTATAAACGTCCATCCTGTGCGGGTGAAACACGTCTGCTTGTAATTAACTGACATACATATGAGTGAAAAATATCTGTGTATATATTTTGTAATTTTTCTTTTCATGAAAGTTTCATATGCACCTGTAAGAGTTGTAAGGGCTAAAAGACAAAGTGTGAAATAAATTTCACAATTATCTCTTCATTTTCTGTTCTCTGTAATTAATAATCCTTTTTTGGGTATCTAGAAAAAAGTATATATAAATGGCAAACTGAGAATTCGACCATCTTCTTGAAAGTAATTAATGTTCATCAAATCAAATCGTCCACACAAAATTTATGCTAATGAACAAATATACTTTAGTGATTAACTTAATTAAGAAGGAATGTCATTGAATTTAGTTATTCATTTTGCTTTTATTCTTTTAATTTGTATCACATTTTTAATGCCTCTTCAATTTTAACTTTTTAGGTCGCAAATTTGATGGTTTCTACTTGGCAAGGACCCCCTGCAATGTTAGCTATATTTCGGAAAATGTTTGGCTCATTTTCTTGCCCTCACATCATAAAGCAGAACAATTTCCAAAATTTACAGCATTATTTCCTCCAGAAAGTAAGCATGTGTGACACACATTGTGTGTCTTGATTTTTGATACCTTTTAAATGGGATGGACGAGATCAGTTTTTATCAGATTTTTTAATGCTCTCTCAGTGATGCTTATCATGTTGTGTGTATTGAGTTTAATTTTTTATCAGTTTAAAAAACATTCCCCTATTTATCTAGTTAAATTCTCCAAAAACTTCTACATACAATTGAAGGAGCTATTATTTTGGTCAAAAAATTTTGAATGGGCATCACCTCAATCCTAACGGAATTTCAAAGTTTTTACTTATGAAAATAAAATTTTTGAATGAATGTAAGCTTTGACAAAGAGTAAAATTTCTCTATGGTGAAACTGCAGGAACGCATATCTCGTTTGTGGTTTTTCAAATTCCTGCTTCCACTATATTTGATCAAGAATATTGCTTGAAACATTAATTGAACATTTTTCACACAGTGAAAAGATATTAGGGAGATTTTCAAAAAATGGCATCAAGTATTTTTCCATTTCAAAAATAAAGTATGACAGGAATTTTGCAACGTTGCAAACTAAGATACGCGTTCCTGCAGTTTTGCCGTTGTACTTTTAGCAAGTTTACTTCTGTGTGTTGAGTTGTTGTTAAAGTAAAAAATTGCCCTCAGAAGATTTCTGCTTCACAAAATTGTTGATACATTTCATACTAATATTTTTCAATAATCTTGTTAATAATCAGAAGATCAAAGAATTTTCAAGTACCTACATTAAAAAAATAAGAAAATTTTCCTCTGCTTCATCAATAATTTTCCAATTTTTGCTCCTGCAGATCATCCCTGTTGCAATGGCGGGCTTGCGAACTTCTCACAATATCTGTCCTCCAGAGGTTCTCAGGTTTCTTCTGGACTTGTTCAAGTATAATGACAACAGCAAAAATAGGTTCTCGGATAATTATTACCGTGCAGCTCTCATAGAGGCCCTCGGTAACACCGTCACACCTGTCATATCTGTCTTGGCAACATCAGGGTGTGTTTAATACTTTTTTTGGCTCTCGATTGTCTTTATTTTGCAGCTTTGAATGACCATGAAGACTGTTTGAATGTGAAATCATTGGCATCATTAATCTTTTAATGAAAGGTGATTTGCTCCAGGTTCTTGACTTGGTCAAACCAACGCTTAGTGTATTGCATCAATTGAGTAAAAAATTTTTTCAGATTTTGTTTTTTTCGCCAGAAAAAGTAGTTAACAATTCAGTTTTCATCGCCTTTCAGATCTATCAAAAATAAGACGTAATTTAGGTGCCTACTGAATGAACATAAACTGAAGAATTTGAACATACATAAGTGGATCATATCCAATAGTAGCACCCACTGCGGTAGAGCCCCCATTGATGTGTAATCATGGAACTAATGTGTCTCACAGGTTAACTAAAGAAAAAACATTACATTAAATCAGATCTCATTAAACAGGAGGGAACCTGCTTGATTACAATGTTTTAAATTCGTGCACGTTTGTTCTTCGCTTAAAAAATGCCTAGAATGATAAATACAAAAGTTTTTTTTTTTTTTTTTTTTTTTATCAAGAAATTTTTCATTCCGAAATAAAACAATCAAGTAAATTTTATCAATGTACACATGTTCCGTATTTTTTAAAGCAAAGAATAAATTTCACAATTTTAAAAACCCTGAAATAGAGCTAGATCTCTGTTAAAAGCAATCCAATTAATCTGTTCCTATTCTTTGCGTATGTCTCTTTCAGCTATATTCACCTGCCTAAGTGAAGATACGTCACATCATTTTTTTGATAACTTTTTTATTTATCTAAAATCTTGAGAAAAATTTGAACTTAACAAGATGTTTGGTTTTCAGGAGTGAAATAACATCTGAATCTTTGTCGGGAGACACTAAATTAGTGCTAGAGGAAATTACAAGGCATTTGAATCTTGAAAAGTTACTGCCCTGTTATAAGTATACAGTTTCTTGCGCTTGTCTCAGAGCCATACGTAAACTTCAGAAGTTTGGTCACCTACCCAGCAATCCTTCCCTTTTCAAAAAATATGCGGCCTATGGGAATTTCATAGGTAAGTGTCATGAAATTCTATTTTTTGTTTTACCCTAGGATTCTTTTTTGTCGAGTTTACTGAATTCATTAGTTTTTTCTCTGGTTTTGGCCACAAAATCACCTTGTAATAAATATTCTAAATTAATGAAGCAGAAGGAAATTTGAGAAGTAAAGAGGTTAATTTTACTATTAAAAATTTACAAAAAATGAATTTAAAAAAAATCGATAATAATTTAGTAGACCATGAGGAGCAAACACCTTTGTGTTAACATATGGTTGAACATGATCCTAAAGAGATATTTTTCTCCCCTTTTTCGGTCTTTAGAAAAGAATCTTCCAGTTGGTTAGTCACTGTGTTGGCCTTATATGTTTGGCGGTGATAATTCCTGTCTCATCGTTGTGGTTCCATGCGACAGTTGCCTCTATTGCAGGTTGGCAAAATCAACACTCCTATGGCACTGCTATTCATTAGATTGATGCATGTTGTAAATTGCTGTGATCAATATATTTTAATTGGTTTGCAAAACGAAACCGAAAATGTTATGAGACCTGTTTCATCTGAATTTTCATAGGGATAAAAAAAGACAAAGAAAGGGGAAAAAAACATTTGAACCTCATGAGGTTAAGCAATAATAATTGCACAGCAGTCAGGGGCTAAGAAGTCATAGAGTTGTATTATAGGTATCATAATTGGATATTTCTTAGTCCAACTTATCTCTCTCCATTTTGTATATTTTTCTCTGTAAATAGATGTCCGACTTGCTGCCTTGGAATGTTTGGTTGACTTCACTGTTTTGGATGGACGTTGGAGCGACCTTGAATACCTCCTGGACATGATCGATGAAGACCCTGATCCTGGTGTGAGGTTTGAGTTGGTGCAAATGCTTTGCGACAATCCTCCATTCCAGCGCATGGCTGGCAAGCATCGATTAGATATCCCAGACCTAGCTAATCGATTGTGGAATCAATTTAAGTAAGCCCCTATTCTATAATCAGCAGGGTTGTGCTTAAAGTCTGAAATCGCAATCAAAATTATTTTTTATTTATTAAATCAAGAATACACATGGTGTTCAACTTTTTATAATATTTGCAGTCAAAAATAACAAATTTTTTAGTAGCAACTGTGGAGCCTTGCAAGGACCTGCACAGGGCTTTGATCGGAGGGATTGTATATCTCACACTTTTTCTTTGATCTTTACAGATTTGGCTAAATAAGGGCTGATTCAAGCACATTTATGTCTAGAACATAGATTAAAAACATTTTGCCATTATTATTTTGGATGGAAGCTTTTAAATTTTTAGAGTGCTTTTATAGTTATGTGATGAATTTTTTAAGTTGGGGATTGATTTTTTGCTTCTAAGGTGAGCTTGTGTTCCAAGTTTAGTGTCTTTGCGTAAACATATCACCCGTCATGACCTCGTAATTCAACTAGAAGAAAGTTTTCTCAGTTTTTTTCCAGTTTGGTTTTTGTCTCAAGGATTTAATGCTTTGTTCTAGTGGAATGTTGTCTCATGACTCAAGGATGAGGTGCAGCCTTGTTGACTTATACTTCGCTCTGTACGGAAGGAGGAGACCTCATTGTTTACAGCACCCGGATTTGGCCTTTATTCAACCCCAAAAAAGTCCAACTCATCATCATGAATTTGAAGTAAATATTCACCCAAGTTGAAATTAAGTAGATTTTAATTACCTTGTGAAATTTTGCCGTGGAGGGGAAAAAAGAAACCAAGGAACTCTCTTATCAAGTTAATACCAATAGAATGGGGTAGTTGCATGCAGCTGGGATTTTAGATTTGATGACTGTTTCTGGCAGAACTTTTCGCGAAAAAGCCGTTTTCCGCATTTGCAGGTTTTGATATTGAGTGGAAAGCTTCGTAAAAGCTCGATAAAAAGTTGCAAAAGCACAGTAAGAAATAAACAATTTCCATTGGCTGTGACGCCAGTTGGTATACTAGGCCCCGCCCACCGCCATCATCCCTATCTCGACCGTGTGTTTACTGAGCCGAAGTATGATCTGTTGTGCCATTTAAAGTGTCTAAATTATCTTTTTTCCTCAGAAAATACTGTCGGAAATCATGCCAAAAGGTGTTCAGAACCGTATTTTGATCATAAACTCAAACACAGCGCTAGTTGAGATCAGAAAAGTGATAAGAACAAGTCTGTGTTATGGTGTTGTTGCGATTTTTGGTCACCGGCGCCACCAGCGCCTAGAGAGCCCAATTTGAGCTATGATTGGCTACAACGCACGAACACTGCCAAAGCAGTTCGGGCGCACCCAAATCCGACAGACCGCACGGCTCTCGGCAGCGGCAGAAGATACGCGAAAAGCTCTATTTCAACTCCCTTTTTCACTAAGAAATCATGATGGAGAACTTTCAAAATTGTTTTGAAATTATTAATAAAATCCTAAAATTTTCATTGATGCAAAGAAGTCAAGTCTAGACATAAAAATCGATTTTTCGCGAATTTTTGAAAAGACCATATTTATACGTATTTGACATAGGGCAAACATGGGCGAACCTTGGTGTATACCATGTGACGTCACAAAGTCCCAGTTTTGAAGCGCAGGAAAAGACTCATTTCAAATGGCTTTTGACTTTGAGGAGCTTTTCCTCAAAGTTCCGGCGACCGGAAAATTTTTTAAAAAATACCTCAATACTCAGTAGACCTCAAACTTATAGAAATTGAATTAAAAAAATTTCACGCAACCACCCCATTGCATTTCAGTTTCTTTTTCCTTAGAGGTAACATCTTTGATTGTATCATGACGCTTGAAAGTATTCATATGTCTGCGTAGTAAGTTTACTTTTTATCCTTTATTTAAAGATTGAATATCGATGGCCAAAGTGTGAAACGACATATCTCTGTTTACAACATTGCAAACTTCCTATCATATTTTATTTTTTCTGTTGAAAAATAGTCAACGTAACTCCTCGAAAGCTTTCTTGATTTTTCCTCTCTGTTAGCAGAATATTTTGTACAAATTTCAAGCTGGAAAGTTGGCTTTGTTTCTTTTTTTTAAAATAGAATAAAAGAGGAGGGGGCACTTGAAACATCCCCATGGAGATATGTGGTTTCGCAATTTGGCTAGGGATAAACTAAATTTGAAAAGAACAATACGGAAAACTGGCAAATATCTGAATAAAAATAAATGAGTGTTAGTTTTAAGTTTCATTACTAATTCTTGCCTTTTTCTAATTTTTTTTAGCAGAGTTCGATTATACCTCCAGCTGAGCCCTCGCTTTTTGGTTTAAAGCGGCCCTCACCAGTGAAAGAACTAGAGCTTGTGGCTGGTGATGACCTTGGAGTTGCAACTGTGGAAGTCATTGCGGGAGATGACAAATCGAAAATTAAGGTATAGAAATTCTGCTGCTGCTGAATAACTTTGTGAATACACAGCACGCCCTATTTAGTGCTGTAAACACTACAAACTGCAACCAAGATGCTTTAGCAACCTTGGCAAGTTGCAATAAATCAAGAAGAATAAAATACTTGGTACACAGAAGAGTTATTTTCATGATTACACGGGTATAAGGTAGTTCAAATAGCGATGGCACCACAAGCATAGTTGCAAATGCAACAGAAAGATAAATAAACAAATGCAAATGAAAGTATATACAGTGGTCAATATTTTATATGACGTCACAGAATCTGTTGGTACCATTTATTTCCATTCAAAATAGGGCTAGCTTTTTGGCGACTTTAAGAGTCATTTTTTTAGCAAGCTTTTGATTAAATAAAAAATATTAAAATGCAGGTATTCCTGCTTTTTTCATGCACTAATGGAAAACAATTTTCAAAAAAAGAAATCTGTGCTACAGCTATGTTTAGTACAATCACCCAATTCCTGTAAGTATTTTTGACAGCATTATGAATAAATTGTTGTGTAATAATTTTTCCAGGCTGAACCAATAGCAGAGAGTCACCGAAAGTCCGGTTACTTCTCAGATAGTTCCGTGTCTCTCCCTGGAATCACTGGGAACAATGAACCGATTGGATTTGAACCTGGAATGTTCAAGAAGGAGCACGATGGACCACCAGAGCCCAAGAAATTCAAGGAAGATCCATCTGTTGCGAAGGTTTGCACTTTCATTGGATAGCTTTAAACGGAAACAGCTGAACCGCATTTCATGTTGCCCAATTTTCTCTCAAGTTTTATTTCTTTTTTAGAGAACCGAACACCATTCTGCCTTGAAACTCACTGTATATTTTTCCTGGCTCATGAAGAATATACTCAAGAATTTCAAGAATGCTTTTCAGAATGATCATTACTTTTCTATCAATAAAAGAAACCCTAAAAAGAAATTACGCAACCTCTAATGCAGTTAGGCCGATGTAGCTTAGATCAAACAAAGAATGTCTGAGATAGGGGAAACTCTTCGAGTCCTTGATCTAATCTTTGCATTGCCAAACATTCAATGAAACTCCTTCGAGAGTAAGCATTTCAGACCAAAAATCAATCCAATATTTCGATATGTTGGAGTTTCTTAGCCAACAAGCGTTAAATTCAGCATTAAGCTGCTAATGTTTTCATGACCTCTTCGAGCTTGGTAGCAGAAAATTCAGGAGTCTGCGCTAAACTGAGGATTGGCCCAACAAGGCCGAAACGCGTCTGCAGTTGCCTTCCTGAATGGTTGTTACTAGTGTTGCACCAAACAGTGTATCTCTTTGAGGGAAAATTGTGCTTGTGTATGAGCTATTTCCCTCTATAGTGAGACATCAGCTTTATGCTAAATTTAATGCACGTTGGCTAAAAAACTTCAACATACCGTCTTACTACCTTGCGTCCACCGCAATTGGTTGATGTAATCCAACATGTGGTTGGTGAAACTACAGAAACACTTATCTTGTCTGCGGTTTTTCGAAATCTCCTCTACCAATACATTTTAAGAATGCATTGATAACTTTGCTAGAGATTTTTTTAAAGAATATTCTCTTACCGAGAGGAAAAATGAAGTTTTCAAGAAATAATGTTCAGTACTTTTCCTTTTAAAAAAATAAATTTTGACAGTAAGTCTGTAGCATTCAAACCTAAGTACATTCATTTTTACAATTTTACTGTCCATATGACTTATAATTCAAAAATAATAATGAGAAAATTTTAAAGCAGCCTAACTCTGGCTAAGTTTGACATTTTTAGGAATTTCTTCATCATAATGTTTGTATTTTTTGTTTAAAGTTTTTTTTTCTTCCAATGTCTCAAGTTGTTTGCACAACATTCCTCTAAGCAATGATTTTAATACCTCAATATTCGAACTTGAGGCAATAAGGTCCCTAGGGCCGTTTTTCCCAGGGTGGTCCCTAATTTACAATAATCGGACAGGGCTAGGACAAATTATGTGCAGAGGATACTTTTTGGACATAACATGACTATGGTGAAACTCTCAAATGACGTACCTCGTTGTTTCAAAATCTCTGCTCCTGTCTATTTTTTTTTTATAGGAAACGAAGCAACATTATTTCTTGAAATTCTCATCGAATTTTTTTTGCTGAGAGAGGAAAAATCACGGAAGATTTATAGAGTGACGTTGAGTTGTTTTCCACAAAAAAAAAAAAAAAAAAAAAAAAAAAAAAAAAAAAAAAAAAAAAAAAAATCTGATTGGAAGTCCCTAAGGTTGTAAACGTAGATATGCAGCAATTTAGTTTCACTGTCAATGTATCCTTATGATCCAATCTATGCTTCTACCTTTGGTTCATATGATGTAGTTTTGTATCCGCACTGTTAAAAGAAAGTTAGTGTGCAGGTTTTATCACAAAATGCATCAAATCTTTAAACCATTCATTTTCTTTTTACATTTATCTTTCATCCTGTTACAGTTGAAGAAGAAAAAGAAAGACAAGAAGAAGCACAAACACAAGCACAAGCATCGGCATGAGCACAAACACAGCAAGGAGAAGAAAGATGAGGATAAAGATAAGTCTGACAAATCCAGTAAGGATGCAGAGAAAGATGACACGGGCAAACTCAAACTCAAAGAAGAAACTCTTAGTTCTGTAAGCTCAAGTCCTAGTAATAGCCCTGGTAACTCACGCGATTATTTCATGTGAGGAGTAAGTGTTTAGTTTGATTTTTCAAGTTTTATTTGTTTATTTTTTCAGAGACTGTACATTTACGTGTTTTTACCATTTTAGGTAGGTAAAAATTGTTGGTGATTAATAGAGGAACTCGGCACAAAGCCTTAGCTCTTTTGGAACATGCTGTCAGCACAAAATTTATCAGTTTTAATCATCATTTATCAAAAAAGTCAAACTTATTGGTATCTGAAACATATGTCACAATTGTGAAATTATACTTAAAAATCAACTACCAATAGGTGTAGCAACATAATAATGATATTTTGTTTTTCATAAGAAGCGTGTCTGTCTCATCTCTTTTTATACGTGTTAGTATTAATTATTCTGGATCTCTGTAGTCTAATGATAATATTTGTAAAAAAATTAAGACATGTACTATTTTTGTATCTATTGTTTAAATGCCTGCTTCCAGGTAGAAACTTGTTAAGGTGGAAAGTGTGTTCAAAATTTTAAGTTAATCCCCTGTAAGTCCAAATCAAATTTTAAATTATTGCTGTAAATTCTTGTCAAAATCTATATTTTTTGTGAGAATTTTTCTCACAACTGTATTATATCTAAATTTTAGTGAAATATTTGGCTGAGTACCATTATTGTAAATTAAAAGTTATTTTCTGAATATATTTTTACTATTTTCAGTCTTTTTTCGTTTATTCTCCTCTTTTCACAGTGGAAATAACGTCAGAAACGTAGTGTAATACCTATCATAGGTAGCATGTTTCAACATAGTTTCCTTCCTCACAAATATTCATCCAAGTCTTAACAAGGGGAACCGAATGTGTAGGTGAGCTGTTGCTGGTTGAGCATTATTTCTACACAGCCTGGTATTGGCTCTAGCTATCTTTTCCTCCATTCACTGTGAAGGGACCTAAAATTTTCCAGAGCTTTTGGTTCAGTCACGTTTTTTACTCAAGTGACCCTTTTCGGGTGCTCCTTTGGAACTTACAATTAGTTTAAGAATCCTAAGGGTTTTACAAACAATCCAGATCAGAATGTAAAGGATTAAAATGAAAACTGCAGAGCAAAAAGCAATAGCATCCAACAGCATATACTCGTGGAATGGCATGGTAGCGGAGGCTGGTTTCAAGTGGTGAGCCCCTTTGTGCCTGATAACATACTCGACCCAAAAAACTGCTCTCTCCAAACTTGTTTCAGGTAGATCTCCGTAAATAGCTGCCCATCGCTTGGAATTTTCTACAAACCTGCTTGAAAAAATGTGAAATATTTAATGGAAAGTAGAAAAGAAATAAAATTGTACCCGTAAACCCTTGTCAGACTGTGATGAACGCATAGTCCTTCTAAATCCATGAGAGTTGCTGTCCCACCATAACAAAAATCCTTTTGGAACAAGTGACTACAATCAGTAGAGTTTATGTAAAGTTGAAAACCCATCACATCTTTCTGCGTGGCGGCAAAAGTATCCCAGGTCCAATGCCTCATTTTATCTTTATTTCAATGATCAAAATATCAGATTTTCCGTCTCTCCTGCTTAAAAGTGGGACCTTAATCCTGACAAGAAACTTACCATTGCCTACCTGTAGTATCTGAACGTGCAGTTTTTTCTTTAATTAGGTATTATTCTTTAAATGTGTATTTTGTATTAAAGTATGTACGTACGAAGGTGTGTTCAAGATTCTATTTATTTTTCTTGTAAATTCTTCGATTGTGAAGTTATCGTCGATATTGGCATTCAATCCAACGCCAATGTGCTCGTAGTAGGCTACATTGTGAAACTGGTCGGCAAACATTGGGAGCCCGAGGGTGGGTACTCCAGCAGTCATCACTTCTACCAGACTGTTGATGCCTCCGTGAGTTATGAACAATTCACAGTTCGGATGTGCTGCAGAAAGAAAAGAATAAATGAAACATTGATTAAACATTACATGTACACTCAGCAAAGTGATCGCCTGAGAAAATTTGCCAAAATTGATGAAAAAATGCGAAAATTAGCCGAATTTTGCAATTTAAAGGGCCCGTCGGGACCGTTAATATTTTTGCAGTGGTGAATGCATAGCTATGGTGCGCTCCAGCTAGAATTGCATTTACAAATGGGTGGTTTTTATAGGAGGATTGTAGTTGAACAAGTGGTTAGAAATGAAAACAAAAGAATATGAACTATGCAAAACGATTATTCCGATAACGGAACTTGGCTGTTTTGAAAAAGCCTTCAATTGCGGCGTGATACCTCACGCATTCCGGAGAGTTCAAATAGTTGTATCACTGCGCCGTAAGAATGTGACGGAAGATTTAATTGGAAATAGCCTCCATGTACGCTGGGCGTGTCGATTTCCTTTGACATTTTTGCAGTGGTGAATGCATAGCTGAAGTGCGCTCCAGCTAGAATTGTATTTAGCAAATGGGTGGTTTTTCTAAGAGGATTAAAAATAAACGAGTGGCACGGAATATAACAAAAGAATATGAACTATGCAAAACGATAATCCGGGTATCGAAACTTGGCTGATTTGAAAACGCCTTCAAATGCGGCGTGATACCTCACGCATTCCGGAGAGTTCAAATAGTTGTATCATTGCGCCGTAAGAATGCGACGGATGATTTAAATGGAGATAGCCTCCATGCACGCTGGGCTTGTCGATTTTCTCTGAAATTTTTGCAGTGGTGAATGCATAGCTGAAGTGCGCTTCAGCTAGAATTGTATTTACAAATGGAAGGTTTTTCGACGAGGATTAAAAATAAACAAGTCGCAAACATCTGGAAAATTTTTAATTTTTCGGGGGGGGGGGCATATGGTACTATTTTCAGTTCTAAGGGGGCCAGGCCCTCCTGGACTCCTCCTTCGTTTGTCTGTGGCAAGGGAGTTGAGCCATGAGCCATTGAAATCGAGGATGCCCAGACTGGAGACTCTTAGCATCTGACGACGGAAGAAAATGAAACGCAGTTACTAAAAATATCCCTTTGTACTGAAAATCTTGAAAATAGATAGAAATTTTCCAAGAAGTATACTTCTTTGAAAATTTAAGAAGAGTTCTACAGTGCCTCAGCGTGTTTTTGAAAATCTATTCACCTTTTGCGAAATTTTTAGGGTAAATTTTTCACTTTTTCTTACGAAACAAGGGTTGCTTGTGAATTCGTTGTGGTTTTTCACTTGTAACACGGGCCTCCTCCGGGGCCCGGGCCCCGGTACCAGGGACCCAGTATCCCCCCCTTGTGGCGGGCCAGCCTACGACGTAAGAGGGAAAGCAGGAGAATTACCTATGCTGCCAAGCTAAGGAAGAACGCCGTATGAACCTTTAGGCTTTGCCAAATTTCCTTTGGTAAATCACGAATTTTCGGGGAAATTTTAAAGCTTTTCCTTCCAATTATTCTGAAAATTTTTCTCGCAAAGCCCTTAAAGAGTCTTGAAAATTTCAAGAGAAAATATTCATTAGTTTCCTCAGAAATGAACATTTTATCGAAGGAACTTTGACAACTCTCGAATGTTTATACGGCGTTCTTCCTTAGCACGACAGTATAACCTAGTTTTACGTGAGAAAACAAATTGACAATTCTGTCATTAGGTAACTGTATGAGAAGGTAAATCGCTTTTTCGCCAAATTCCGTCTTAAGGGCCGTTCAAAAATCACGCGACGTTGTAGGGAGAGAGAGAGGGGGTTGAGGAGCGTCACGCCATTTGTATTATTGCAACCGGCGGGAAAGCTCAGTGAGCCCGGACGAAACGCACATACGTGTTAAAGGATAAAGAAATACGTAACAAAAGCGCTTTAAGGAGGGAAGTGGGGTCAAAAATGCAGAAAAAGTAATTTATGAACGCTCCAGGAAGATGAAAATTGACAGCAAGGAAAGATGGATCTGCCCTTCGACTTGCGTGTTGTATCATGCAGGACACTGATCGTGAAGTGTGAATTCCCCCAGCGCATGAGAAGCCAACTCGCCTTCATTCATTTTAATATGCAACACGACTGGTCATCGATTTGGAATTGTCGAATACGCGTTAACTTGTACATGCCTAGCTACCTACGTCAACTTGACCCAATGCTTGCCAAAAACAAGTGCCCCGCAGGTTGTATGGGGCTATTACAGTAGTACATGCAAGCTTCAGATATAGGTTTACAAATACATAATCAAAAATAATCAAAAGTCAAATTAAAACAAAGAAAAAGTTCGAGTGTAAGTACAGCCGAAAATAGGAGAGACGTATTCAGGCCTCGTTTTCTCACTTTTCTCCCGAATCTAGGTGACACACCATTCGCAGCTTGGAGCGGAGCATTGGGAGTTCACGCCTCGCGACATCGCGCCTTCAATTTTGCAGATACAACACGGACATCCATCAAGCACGAATAGTTGTATCTCTGCGCCGTCATCTACGCGCATCCTTTAATTCCCTTGCACACATTTCAATCATCGCACGATAATAACTTCTGATAAATGTTTATTCTGAATAATTGACACTTAGGAATACGTTCATCCTTGATAGCGTGTATTATTTAAATTTACTAGAAAAAAATTATAGTAAAAAAGCAGTGAAATAGAGCCAAAAGAAATTATCATGCATCATTTTATACAGGAAAGAAAGGACAAGTTAGTTGTTTTCCCCCCAATTCCGTTTGTTTTTTTAACTTCTTGATACACTTTCTTTTATAAAATTCTTTAACTGATTATTAACAAGTTTTTTAAAGTACAACTTTAAATTTTACCAACTCTGTTGGTACTTGTACTCACCAAGGATTGCAGTTTGAGGCAACCAAGACTTTTGGAAAATGTGTTTCGGGTCTCCATCGAATTTTTCCGGCCATTTTAAAATGACCCTCTGCCTCACGGATTTTAGTGTTTCCGTGAGAACGCGCTTCATTTGATCTGAGAGGAAACTGGGCTGTATGAACGACCCGAGACTGAAGTAAATCACGCCGTCCTGTGCTTCATCCATGAATTTTTTTAAGTCCTGAAAAATCCGAAAATGGGGGTCTCGAAGTTTACTTCGTATCTCACCAGTTACAAGAAAAGGAGAACAGATCAAGTAGGGCCACTTTCGCCTAAACTTTAAATATAACACCATTCTTTGTTGTATGGTGAAATGAGTATTGCTACTTATTATAAAATTAATTCAAAGTTAATTCAAGGCGATGGAGAAAAATGAGAACAGGGAGTGAAGGAGGACCCTTATCGTTGTTAGTGTATTTCCAACAGCTATGGTAGAAGTACAAACCGAGTTCCACTTCAACTATTTACTAAAAAACAGAAATGAAAAGAAAACTATTGTTGAATACCGTAAAAATATGTGATTTTTTCATTCAGTTCACGTGATGTCAAGGTGCACGACTTCACATTTGGTTCTCACAGTGATTGAACTGTTTTACACAAAAATTTACCGCAAAAATCATGATATTTTAACCAAACATATTTCGCGTTTTCATAACAATGTCATCAGATTTTTGTAATGCAACCCCAATTTTCCATTAAAATCATGCTGATTAGTGTAAGAGAGTTACGCTTCTCTAGAGCCTCCGCAGGTCCGGGTCCAGAAGGGTAAGCTTCCAATTACTCGCACCTCTGAAATATACATCGACCGTGTAAGTCTGCAATCACATAACTCGGTTTGCGACGTCACAGACTTCCTGTCATACTTTATTTTTTAAACGGAAAACTACTCAACGGCAATTCTTTTAAACTGCCGTAATTTTCCTCCTCTGTGTAAAGAAAATTCTGCAAAAACTTCAAGGAATGATGTCAATTTGCTCTCCTTTAAAAATCTAACATAGAGGCGGAGATTTTCAGACACCGCAAACGAGATATGTGTTTGCGGACCTACGCCGTCGAAATGCAGCTATACTTACTGATGTGAAGTCTGAGTTTCTAATATGTAAGTTCAAGACTCTTTCAGTATGGAGTCGTCCCTAAATTACGTAACGCACTCTCTCAGCATTTTTGACCTCCCCTCCCCCTTGCGACGCTTTTGTGACTCAGGTTCAGATCCTTTAACACGTAAAAACAAAATGACCTAACGCTCTCTTCGACCTAGAGCGTTACACAATTCAGGGACGGCCCCTAAAGGACATTGCACCCAGCGCTATCATTCACACGAAAATAAAAATTGCTGATTCAACAATTCAATTGCTAAAAACAGTGAGTGCAATGTTTCAACGCAGATTTTACAACAAAAAAATGCTACTTTAACCACATTGTAAACTAATTTAACCACGGGGGTGGTTAAAGTAGCATTTTTTGTTGTAAAATCTGTGTTGAAACATTGCACTCACTGTTTTTAGCAACTGAATTGTTGAATCAGCAATTTTTTTTCCCGTGCAGGCCTAAATAAACTATAACATTAAATAGGAGCCTCGCTCAGTTTTCGAAATATCGCACCCACCTCAGGTAACTCGGTTGCTGGCTTGATCTGTGTTCCTGAAATTTGGACCACGTTCGGACCATAAGGTCGTATGTGCATCATCGGGTGGCTAAGGACGAGATGTAAGGAAATATTGGCGATGAGGTCTCTGAGAGGAGGCAGTGCCTCCGACCGAAAATTCCTGCGCATGACCTCCTCTTGCGACGGGAGGAAGTAAAAATGACCACCGAGGACATCGAAAGCTGCGATTATTAAATTGTTGATACGTTGCCAGAAGTTCATTCGCTCCGGGTAGGGGAGCCGAAAGTCGGGGACGTACGATAGAGGGTTCGGGATACCGGTTAGGGAGGCCATCAATGGTGTGACGGCGATTGGGTGCAGGTTTATGACCGGAGCCCCGAATTTGTGTGCGAATCCCAGAAGAGGCTCCTGAAGGATGGTGGCGCCGTGCGCTATGATGACGTCGAATTGCTCCCGAGACCTCATCAGGTCTTGCAGAGCCGATAATCGGAGGGCGTCATCAGTCATCAGTGCGAAAATGTTCCATAGATTCAGCGTGTACTGGAAGATCGATGCCTCCCGCATTCCGATAAAATCAAAGTCTGAAAAATAAGTGCATAGAGGTACGTTATAACGTTTTTCCTTTTCTCGTAAAATGATTCCAGGCAAGGTATCCTCTGGAGTGCCTCTTTAACACTTTCAAATTGTAAAAAAAAAAAAAAAAAAAAAAAAAAAAAAAAAAAAAAAAAAAAAAAAAAAAAAAAAAAAAAATGAAAAATTAAAAAACTTAGCCAAAGAGAAATGTTGAGGGCGTTTCACGGCTGTAATATTATTTTCTCTGAGGTAAATTAACTGGAAGGTATACATTTTTTACGCCTTGGATAATTAAAATGACAAACATTATCAGAGGTAAACTGCGTATTAACCCCATGGACTCAACCTTGTTGCATAGTGGTTCTATGAAGAAATAATTCAATATTAAAACTTATTCTTACACCTCAATTTTGGTGTTGCAAGCAAATTTTCAACTTCAAACGCGTTTTTCTCGGTTTCTGCAAGTTGTCGCTCACCTCTTGTAACCACAATATGCCCTTCAGCCTTCAATTACGAATGATACAACTATTTTAATATCGATGTAGCTCAGATTGCATAATGACCGAAAAGAAGGAGGCGTTAATTTGCTGTCAGCATTTTTATGTTTCATTGGAGCTAGACCTAAGTCTGATTGAGAATACGAGAGCAGCTATTTTCTTACCCAAATATCTCACACTGCAAAACCACTGAAGTAAAAAAGCTGCTCATTTATCGCTCAATTTTCATTCAGGGCCGTAGACATACCGTCGAGACTATGCACAGAGACCTCCATTTGTATACCTACTTTTCAAAGAGGACACAGAATGGCCCATTTCAAGACAGCAAGACTGTGTCAGAGCGCGTCTAATAATTCCCCACTAGAGGAAAATTAGGAATTATCATGACTGAAATTACCTTTGAAGCTAGTCGCGTTTGGATCAGCACGTACTATTTCCCTGTAATTCCTCATAGGTTCTGCTCGCTTGAGATCCGAATTTACATAGGCCGTGATCTCGTGCCCTCTGGCTGCTAGTTCTTCCACCACAGGAAAAAAAGCTCGGAAGTGGCTGCCAAGTGAAATCGGGAATAAAAATAAAATTCTGGCCGGTGCCGCAAAACCGACGCAATTCAGGAGGAAAATTCCGCAGATTAAATATTTCTTCGCATTCATTTTACTCATATTTGCTAACTATGTTTCAATGTATCTTGGTACAATCATTCCAAACGTTGATGAGGCGCTGTTTCCAATTAACGCTTTCGGTTCGGTTTGATCCAGTTCACATTGTCCAAGAACTTACAATTAAGTGAGGAGACACGATCTTAACTGACATTGTAGGCACAGAACTCGTAGAAAAACAAGGTTGAACTCATCGATGGCATCAAGAATTCTTTTGCCGATTTGCTGATCACACTTCACGAATTATAAAACAGCGGAGACCTCCCTTTTCTCTACCCTGGTCTTCGGAACAACCATGATAAGAATAATAGAAAATACACAAATTAAAGGACACGAAAATATGAATACGACAGAGTACAGACTAAAAACATGAGTCAAGCGAGGTTGAATCTTAACTAAATTGGCAAGACGTCGAGCCGACACAGGCTCATTTCAGCTGCAAAAAAAACCAATAAAATCCAATAAAAAATCTAGAGGGTGACCTGATCCCAGTTGTTATCGCACAACCACTCATGTACGAGTGGTTGCGTAATAACAATCGAAATCAGATCGCCACTCAATTTTTGTTTTACCTAAATTTTATAATGTTTTCCTGCTGAAAATGAGTCTGTAACAGCTCAAAACGACCTACCTTCTTTGTGTTTCTAAAATCCTGGCCTTCTTTTACCCATGTTTTAGTTTATATTCTATCGTTTTTAGAAGTAACAGTTCAGTAATAACCCGTCAAAACTTTTCGTACGAGCAAAAAAATTTAACTTGATTTTAACACGCGCTGTTGAATGAAATTCCAAGTCATTCCTACTCAAACGTTGGATCGCATATGATCATGTTTTGATTCAGTGCTCTCACAAATTAATCACGACGTAATAAAGCCAACACTAAGGTCAATAAAATCTTTATGAAGGCGCTTAGACGCTTAGAGGTTCGCAAATGATTAGTATAGCAAATGCATGCGTGTACTAGTGTACCCTCATCAGTGATCACTCATTGTTATTATATGCACGAATAGTAGGGTTCCGCCCCCTGGCCGCTCTGTGGTGCAATGCCCGGAGATTTTTGTCACTGCCAGTCTGACGAAAATTATGGAGGAAGTTGGAAAAAGTGTAATGCAGCAAAAAAATTGAAAGCACAGTGGCATGACTACCTATGAGAAGAACATTAAGTACTTGGACTACATTTTTAATTATTTAAGTAACACGAGTTCAAGTTTTAGATTCATCTCGTCATTTTCCATTATCTCCTTTGAAATTGAAATCATACGAGAATATCTCGTAGAACTTCCTCTAAGTTCCTCGGTGAACAGATAAAACACATTAAAAACAAAATGACACGATATAAACCAACCCATGAGATGTCTTTCCTAAAGATAAGCTCGGCAACTGAAAGCGTAAAACAATCGTAGAAAATTCGAAGTTGGGTTTGGGCCTATAGCGCAAGAATGCAACTATTTAAACTCCGGAATGAGCCGGGTTGCATACGCTCAATTTTCCGGGAGGAATTTGAGATCTACCAACGGCTTTCGCAGTAGGGCACGGGTTCAATTATTATTATCATTAGTGGTTTCCTCGTGCGTAACGTCTATTCGGTCAACTAATTGGACGTTTCTGTCGTACAGATGTTTAACGCAATATTAACAAACTGAGATGCCTTCCGAAAGACGAACTCGGTACTTTAATCATACCTGGAGCGTGAAAAAATGTAAGATTACATGAAGTTGGGTTTAGACACTACAGACAGTTATTTTAACTCCGCGGTGGGCCGGGTTGCATACGCGCGAGGAACACACGGATCGCACCTGTGTTCTATCACAAAATGCGTAAATGTCGAGCGCGCGTGGACCGTGGGCAGATCTCAGATTTCGCCCGTAAAACCTAGCGTATGCAACCCGGCCCACCGCGGAGTTAAAATAGTTGCATGTTGGGTTCAAACCCAACTTCTTGTTTTCTTCCATAGCTTTTCGCATTGTTTTCAGTTGAAAGTGCGCGATTCGTCATCTATGGCGTTTGAAAAAAGGCTCCAATTTTACAAAAATGCTAACCTATCAACATTCTTTGTTCATTCACCTGAACCAAAAACTGATAGAAGTGCGCGTGACATGAAGGAAAATCGAAAAAAGGGGGAAAAAGAGGGATTCAAATGAAATCTATGAATCAGACGGTGGACTCAGATTCACTACCGTACTTTACACTTTCCGTAATTTGAATGAGGCCCATTCCATGTGAAGAAAGAGAATTTTAATTACAGATGTACAGAAGAAAACCGTATTTGAAGTAAAATTAGAAATAGTTCAAATTTAGAAAATTTCAAATCTTTAAGAATTAAAAATCTGGTTTGAAAGTAGAAACTTGAAGAAATATGTGAAAAAACAGAAAATTTACAGGTATGTAATATCCATGTCAAGCTGATGAAAAAATTAATTCTCTTTGGTAAAAATTGAAGTTCCGTAGAAATTGTCCTTTATACAATGCTACTATAAAAGCGTCCTTAAGCCTCCCTCATCCACATTGTAAATTGGACTTAAATTTCTGCAAAACGGAACTATGTGCATTATGACGTGAGCCCTGTTGTGCATATCTTCTCATGAGTTTCCGGGCTCATGTCTTAGTGCACATAGTTCCGTTTGGCAGAATTACGTCCAATTGTGAGGGTCTTGTCTAAAGAAAGAGGGTGTTTGAGGAACGACTAGGAAAACGGTCTCAGCCCCGGAGGCTCATTTCAAAGGGTGACCAGGGGGGGGGGNGGGGGGGGGGGGGGGGGACCAGTGGCGAGGCGTGAATGATCGATTATCGATAACTCCCCATTTGAGGCAATTGTAAAGAATCGATTATGAAGGTGTTCGTTACGAACCCCTGTTCATAGATCCTTTTCCATAGGTTTAAATGGGAGATCGATCGATAGATCAAAAGCACGCCACGCCACTGGTGGTTACGCCCTTGCCTTAGGTCAGCGGGGCCGGGGTGGCAGCTTCTATCACAACCCCTAAGCTAGTGGCGTGGCGTGTTTTGCGATACATCGATTGGTTTGCCATTTAAACCTATAGGAAAGAATCGATAAACAGGGCGTTCGTAGCGAGCACCTTAATAATCGATTCTTTACCATAGCCTCAAATGGAAAAATATCGATAATCGATCACTCACACCTCGCCACAACCCCTAAGAGTGACGCAACTCGTCATACGATCACAATGATATAGGAGGGTATATTTCCTGGTTACCATCGTTACCGCCGAAAGTAAACAAAACTGTCCAGTCATTTAGCCGGGAGGCAACGTCCCGGCTTGGTTTTAATGCACGTGGTTCGTATTAATGTTCCTCGTTGATCACTTTCGCTGACAAACAATTTATGCATTTTTAACCGTGTACTCTCGTTGCGTCTCCACCTTTGGGTGTTTTATGCATTTTCTCAGACATAGATTTTCATTATTGTCCTTCGTATCTCATCGCGTGGTTCAGTGTTTTCCAATTTCGGAATAATCTGACTTGTATTAATTTTTATAATGTTGAATTTTACAACGTACTTCTGTCGTTTTAAATAAGTTACGTTCTTTGAGGTTTATTGTTTTTGATTTCATTTGTTGAAAATTAATCCAACGTCCAGTTTCGAGGCTGGTGACTTTACTTGAAAAAAAAAATTGTGAGTAATAACCTCAGTGGTTCGTCGTACGCCCGTTCTGATTTGAAGAAATTAATTAAAATAAAAAGAGAAATACGTGTAGGTGTTTGATGATCGCTTTTCAGCCTTTCGGATTTACACATTTTTTTAAAAAAAATCTAGAATGCAAATACTTTCACGCGGAGAATCTGTGGCGGTGTCTCATTCCCTCCCAACTATGTCTTCAATAATCTTTCAATGGCAACAATAAAAGCGACAATGGATTGATTGAGAGGTGAGCAACAATTTTTTTAATATTTTATTCTCTTTGTATTACAGTATTTCACCCTATCTCATTTTTGAAAAGTTTTTCGCGAACAAAAATTTATACGTATACGTAATCTATGGTGAAGTACCGTAGTACGTAACTCCATGTATTGTAATTTAAATACCGATCTGGACGATATTTAAAGTTTTACTCATGAGATTGGCAATCATCGATGACTCAAAATTGTACACTTCGAGGCTCGAACCGTGAGTGTCTAACCCCCGGTTCCGCATATTACTTGAGCTAAAACCTCTGGTTCAGTGACTTAAACCGTAACGTTCCAAGTTCCTGGTGGGTTACTTTGAATTTATCTAACGTGGTGGTTGCGAAAATTGCCATGTCATCGATGATCATTGAATTTCATGAATCTGACAGCTAGTTCTAGGTTGATGGAATAAAACAAGAAAGAACCCCCAGAGAAGTTTTGAGCTTCAAAATGAACTTGCGAGATGGCTAGAAACACGAAAAAATGGGTAAGGAAGGGTAAAAATGCACATCAAATAGCCCAGAAATCATGCGGTAGTTTCAACCTCCTTGTCAACCAGGAAACCAAAAAATAAAATTAACGGAAATAAAAAAAAACGTGGCTTTATTATTCTTAATAACAGGGTAATTGGGGAAAATGAGAGGAATACGTGAATCTATCATCTAGAAGGGGGGATAGTAAAATATTATATTTTTTTATTTTTTGTTCCCTGGTTGGCTAAGGGGTGGTTAAAACCACTCCGGAACATCCCAATCATTTTGAGTTATATTTTCAGTAGTGCAAAATATTGGTTTTCAGCTACACATAATTGAAAGAAACAAGTATTGAGCTTTTAGTCAATTTTAAATTTGACCTCATAGTTTGAGAACCATGGACACCGTGCAGCTATATCTATACGCTATTCCGTTTGCTTTCTTATTTGCATCCTTCCAGTGTGTTTTTCTATCTTTGTTCATTGCACTGATGAGGAGCATTGTCATAGACAAAACGTCTGATCTTGTGACCATGTAAAGGTAATTTTGAAATTAGCATGTAATTCTCTTGCATACTGTTTTATTATCAAGCTTGACCTGAATTTACATAGTTCCGCTTTCACTAAATCGGCTAAAAGCTCAATGTTTTGTTTTCTTTTTTAGCATATTGTTTACCCATTTCCTTGTGTTGATTTTCGTTGAGCGATCATGGTTGCCGCGTTTAGCCAAAAGGAACATCAACTATTGCCAAATTTAACCGGGCAATTATATGTCTTACCAGAGATCGTTTGTGCGGACTCCTTTGAAAATTTTAAGGAATTTGCTTCGCACTATGCAGAAAATTCACTGAAATGTGCATAAAAATTCGCACAACCCCTTTCACGCAAAAAATTAAATTGCCCGCTTTAATTTAACAAGAGCTGATGGAGCTCGGTCCTTTTCTGCTTAAAGTTGTTTTTAAAAGTTTTTAAATTTTCGTAAATTTTTACATTTTTTTAAAAATTTTACATATCCTTTCTGCTTAACGAGGTGCATAGATCCCTGGAAGATACCGTCTCTCCAGAGTTAAGAAATTTCATGAAAGATTATAAAAAGAAATTTCATTTAACACGCAGAATTCAGGATTAAACCCTTGAAACTTATGAATCTCCTTAAGTTCATTTATAGGAACGTGGTAAACTGTGAAAGGGAACTTTAGAAATGCCCAGAAAGTTGAGTAAAACAGCAAAAACATAATTTTGAATTTTTTATCTTAAATTTTGGTTGAACACACAGCCGTACCGGTTAAACACCAAAATAAATTTTACGGATAAAGTAAGACGTTAGCTTTCATATTTGGAGCAAAAAAAATTTCTTGACTATAAAGAATCCTAGTACCCCCTAATAGTATATCGTTCTTTTTTGGTACAAAAGGGAGGGATCTTGAACTATCTTTGAAACAATTTAAATGATTTTTTCATTTGTCTCTGATTTTTTCAGAAATTAACAGTTTGAAATTTGAGGTTAGAGTCCCCGGTCTCCCTCCCCATGATGAGCCAGAACTGCCAGAAGAGAAAGAGTAGTAAGAGAAGACCAGAAGAGAAGAGCTGAGAGAAGACCGCGCTCCAACTGGTCTAATTGACGAATATTATTCTCTTTGAAAATAAAAACAAATTCTGTTAGAAAAAATAAGCATTTTTGACATTTTGTCGGTCGAAAGAAATTTCATTGGGGAAAAAGAAATTTCTTTTAGCAACTCTGCGTCTCTCTGAGGTCCGATTTCAGCCGTGCATTTGGTGATTTTGTAGAATCTAAAGTAGTGTTTTTTTCAGGGAGCCTCGGTGTGGACCGATGCTAGGGCGGCAACGACGGCATGTCCCTGTTCAAAGTGAAGGACCAATGGCTGACGACCTGCGGGCAGGACGAGACCTTCGACGCGAGTTCATTGGCGGTGGCCGATCTCAACGGCAAAGGCTCCGACCAGATCATCGTCGGCAGCCACAGCGGGTATTTGCGGGTCTACGAATGTGTTGCCGAAAACTCCGCCGAAATCGAGTATACTCCCGCCTGCCTCCTCATCGAAACATATTTGGAACAACCTATCCTCCAGGTTGCCGCCGGACGCTTGACGAGGTAAATATAGATTGCGAATTGAAAAAAAAGTTTCGAGCTTAAAGCTGAGATAAAACAGGCTGCGGGTCGACTATTGAAATTGATGGATAAAGAAGATAAATGTGATATGAAGTTACCTTATTGATGGAAACGGGGGGTTGCAATGGAAAAAGGAGGTAGGTATTAGACTAACTCACGGCAACCCACAAGGAACCCCATAGTTAGTCCATCATTTTCTCCCTTGGTCTACAGAAATCACCCATTTTAATCAATAGAATTGCTCCATACTCCCTACGTCTTTTTTGTCTATTGTTTTGTCTATCAATGTCAATAATCAGCCCGTTACCTTGAACCACCCACGCAGAAAGGGTCCGTAGCCCACAAAAACTCAAAATTAATGTATTATTTGCAAAAAAGGCCCTCATACCCCATGCAATGGTGCTAAAATTTTAAAACTTTATCTAAAGGTTGTATTCATTTAGGTGCCCGCTTTAAAATAATTTTTACTAAATATTCTTTTAATATTTCTCGATTTTCTACAAGTACGTATGAATTTTTGAGGAATTTTATGAAGTTGCTAAAAAATATTTTCGAAATTACACAATCTTAGTTGCATTGCATGGCATGAGAGCCCTTCGCGTATAAAATATCTGAATTGAGAAATTGATAAAGTATACGACTCGTCCATAAATTACGCCAAGGTCCAAAGAGGGAGTGAAGCGGGGTGTTGCCTGACTTACCTTGTCACCACGAGATTCATGTCAGAGCTATTTCTGCTACGCTACGTAAAAAAATATGGGACAATTTTACCCCCCCCCTTCCCCATAATCCTAAAATTTGCCCTGATTTTTCACCTTTCCACCCTCGTTTTCCTATGATAAATTCCTTGAAAATAGATCCTACAACTTATCATTTGTCCACGGTGCTGGAGTAGACACTGAGGAAATTGAAATAGTTCACATTGAAACATTACTTCATCAACTAGCTAGTGATGATTTTACCTTCTGACTGGTGTAGTCGCCGTTTTAATGCAATGAAGATGGACTGTTTTCTCTTATGTTTATTCTAGCGGAATAAAAGAGCGTCATATTGCAATTTTGCATCCTTACAAGGTTGCAGTCTACGCACTCTCCATCATCGAAGGAACAGTGGAACACGGTGAGTTTGAGGAGATCTGTTTCATTAATTTTAACTTCACTCACAATCATACACTTACGTTACATTACAGACGTGTCTAAGATAAAACCCTGTAAACCTATGATATCTGCTCAACCTAACTGAACGAACTTAAAGGAGGCACACAATACTCTTTGCGAGCACAGAAAAAAAGAAAGCTGTTATTCAATTGATGGTGGCAAACCATAAGTCAGAAAAACTCTAAATTATGCCATTATATTATTTATGCCAGACCATAGAGGGGCAATATGAATACATTGGGACAGAAAACGCCCAAAGAAGGCAAGGCAAACCTGATGATGAACTTTGCCGCTTAAGAAACGTTGTTTCGCAAAAAGTTATGTGAAATTCAGATCTATCATGTTCTGAGCACGAAATTGTCACAATTTTATGAAATTTTATGCGCCGCTTTTGGTACAAGAACGTAGGTACCAGCCCAGTCGGAACTTTTTTTCGGGACATCAGAGATAATTATCCTTGAACATTTTAAAATCCGATTGTTTAACCCAACTTGATGAAAATTGCTCCACTAAATATTTTGTCTCGATGGGCCGAGGGGTCCCTTTTCTCACATACAGTCAAATTCAACATTCTCAAATGCAAATAATTCTTCAAAAATGTCTCAGGGACGGAAACACGGTTGGTATTGATGTACGACCACGTGCTGCTGAAATCAACATACCAGTTGATTGTCGGTCCTTTCGGAAGCGTGAGGGACCGCGATTTCCTGTGCGTCCAGTCTCTGGACGGTGTTCTCCTCTTTTTCGAGCAAGAAACTTTCGTCCTGAACAGATCCTTGCCGACGTTCCTGCTTCCGTCCCCTATCTGCTACGTGCCTCAGACAGACTCTTTCATCGTTTTCAATGCTGAGTGGACTCTTGAAAGTTACAGGTAAGAACTGGAAACATACAAGTTGTGACGTCACCATCTCCGTTTCGTCGAATTGGATCTAGGCAGGAACAGGACGGGGACACAAGCTCTTTCAATGCTACTAATGAGAATAATTTGATATATATCGACGGTGTAAGTTGGCAATCACATAACTCGGTTTGCGTCGTCGGAGACTTCCTGTCATACTTTATTTTTTAAACGAAAAACTACTCAACGGCAATTCTTTAAAACTGCGCGTGATTTTTCTTCTCTGTGCGAAGAAAATTCTGCAAAAACTTCAAGGAATGATGTAAATATGTTCTTCCCAAAATAGCGTTTGGTTGCGCGTACACCTGGATGCAGCACGATAAAAGCACAAAATTTTAAAGAAAAAAATTAAAGTGCTCTGGAAATCATTAAATTTGACACGGAACCACCAATATTTAAAAAACACACATTATATTATTATTCTCCTTTGATACATTGATACATATTTTTTCCCATCAAATTTAAATGAGTATAATCAATGCAGAGTGTGCTAACATTTCAAAATCATGAGTTAAAAAACGCTAAATAGCCTAACAGAGCGGAGCGGCTTGCTGCAAGCGCGAGGCTCACTGGCGCCTACAAACCTAAGTGGATACTTCACGCATTGCACAATGCTTGAAGTATCCACTCAGGTTTGTAGGCGCCAATGCGCGTTTCGCGCTGGCCGCCCGCCCGCCGTGTGGCGGCGCCTGAAGCAACTATTTCACAACAGAAGTGTTGCACAGTATTATACGAAATTGAACGTATTAAGAATGACAGGCATCCTTTAAAAGTACAGATCTTTCCTCGCAAAATAAATCAAGATACTTATAGTACAAAGGAAAAATCTAAGAGCCTTTAGCTGAGGCAAATACAAAGGTTTGTCCGGTTCAGGTATAACAAGGTGGGAATTTCTTGAAAGATAATTAAGTCCTGTTGCACCAAAGAGGTGTAGAGAGTTTTAGTGAATTTTGTCTCATGGAATTGACGCTCCCCCATTTTTACCGAAACTCTCAACTATATATTATTCTCCGTTGGACCAAACAGACAAAACAATAAAATAAGCAAACCCTCATTCTTCCAAGACAATATATATTTGCATCTAAAAATGTCGTGAGCAATTGTCGTTTGTATTTACACGTGGGTCAAATAACTTTGGGTCTCAACTGGCACGTGGACCAAAACTCCCGTGCCGAAAAAACGCGTGGACGTAAATTACTGGAAAAAACAGGTGCGCGGACAAAAAATCGTGGACGAAATGTCCTATAATCTCCGCGACAAAGCGTAGAGTATCACCAAAAATGAAGGCGCTCGAAGCCGGGATCGCACTTTTGAAAACCATTACCCAACTACCTTCATTATATCAATGTACATTATCGAGATTCATCCAAACAACACGAGAGCCGTTTGCAAATTGCTGGCGATTGCTATAATTGCCTGCGACATATCGCTTTTCTAAGACGTAACACATATAGCGTCTACACTGAACAAGATAACACCTTGAAACCTTATCCGAATTTCTTATGGAAAATGAAGAATGTACTCAAAAAACTTAAAGGTTTAATGTTTTAAATTAATAAAATAAGAGAGGAAATCAGGCAGTGTACAATGTTAACCGTCCAAAGATAGCGGTCGGATTTCAGCAGAATCAGTCTACTACGTCAAACTTTGCTAACTTCCTTTGAAATTGAAAGAATGAAAGCGGAACAAATTGTGAATTTACTATACTTTTTCTTCTTCACTATATGGTTGATATTTTCTTGTTTTCGCTGACCTTTCTTACTATTAATCCATGATTTAGTTATCAGGCTCTAGGAGACAGCTCAGATCGGAAGTTGAACCCATCGTGGCGGTACAATTTAGGTGAGCCGATCTTAGACATCCAGAACTTGATAATGAATATGAGAGAATCAGCAATATTCGTGTTGGGCGAGAGGAATCTCTTCTGTTTCAGTGAAGTCGGACTCATGCGATTCATGAAGCGGCTGCAATTTACACCCATGTGCTTCCACCCTTATTTTATAGGTTCGTTATCACCCATTCTCAAAATACAGTCAAGTCGTGCACTGCTGTGCTAAGGAAGAACGCCGTATGAACCTTCAAGCGCTGCCACATTTATTTTGATAAAATACGAATTTCCTGGTAAACGTATGAATATTTTCCCTCCAATTTTTCGGATAATTTTGTTCGTAATTTCACCTAAAATTCTTGAAAATTTGAAGGAAAAATACTCATATCTTTTTTTAAAAAGAAACATTTTGACAACTCACACACACACATTTGGCAACACACGAATGTTCATACGGCGTTCTTCCTTAGCACGGCAGAATCGAATTTGAAGTTGACATGCGAGTAAAGGGGGCTAATTGATCGTTAAAAAAAAACAATTTTTGTCATTAATCAGTCAACCAAATGTACTGTTCAACTAGGATTAAGCTATTCATATAGGTAAAATAAGCGCAGACACAGGTGTTTCCAACTCAAAGGGGGTTGAAAATCCACAACAAAGTTTTGACGATTATCCCTAGATTAGAGCTTTCCACCAAACCAGAACAGGTTACTTAAACGCCATGTCAGTTCGCCGTCAAGTTTTGGTGTAGGCAACACGAGCTCCCACGTGGTCAAATAGTGGTATCATCATAGTCGGACATAACATACATATAAAAGAAAAACATGGGTTCGTTTTTATTTTTCGATGAAATTATGTCGATTATAACTGTCCTGGTCTATTGCATGGGTCAATTAAATTAAATTGATCAAGTGATAATCGTTAAAATAATTGTAATTCACATGACGAAACATTTATTCACGGGTCTAGTAAAATAATTGAAAGAAGCAGAAGAAAAATGTTTGGCCATTCGAAGAGGAATGATACACGCAAAGACTATCGAATCAGCAGGCTCTGATCGTATTTCCTATGGAGAAAAATTGGACATTACCACCAAAAAACCTGTTTTCTTGTCAGTTACTTGGAGATACCCTAATTGTTGCATCAAGTATGGAATGCACCTTAGACAAAATAAACTTTTAATGCGGCGCCGTACATTTTCTCACCAATATAAAATTTTCCTGGTTTCCAAACTTAGAAAAATGTGATTGCCACGAGGAATCTTTTTTGTACCAAATTGAAATTTTTACTCCGGAGTAATGAATTTCACGATTGTTCATCTCTAGCAAGAAACAGCTAAGTAAAAAAAAAGGAATTCCTCGTCGTAATGAACCTTAGTTTTATCTGCACTAAGTATTATTTTGTACGACTGTGTGCTGGGTGAATGTGTTATAGTGTGTTGCTAATTTTCCATTTCGTAATCTCTAATTTGGATACTTAAAAAAGTTCAGGTCATGTTGATTCCTTTGTATGTTTTATTATTCTCGCCGATTTTGCTTTTGAACCCCATACTTGAAATATGTTTTTAGCTGAAGGAGAAAAACTAATGGTCTTAGTGGTGAGTGATACGGAAACAGTCCTGGTGTACGAGAAAACTGTTTTACGATGGTCTGCCCATTTGTCTTTATCACCAGTGGCCATTTCAAGAGTGAATTTCAAGGTTAGTTTCTCCATATTTTACTTGTTACTGCTACTTAACGAGGCGCATGAAAAGACGTATTGTTGTCACTACTCTTTCATAATGAGAATCCTCATCAATAATTTCTATTGAAATCGAATTAAAGCTAAAGGTGGAAAACCCCGGAAGACTCGGATATTCCTTAAATTGTTTGTTAACTGTTATTTATGATGAATTTCTTCGTAACAACTAATAGACTCGATTAATCTATTTCTCTAAAGAATAAGGCGCTAATTACCAGCTTATTTCAGAGGTTTTGTAAAAATTTGATTTACGACGTCATCCACCGCGGTAGTATCACCTTTGATTTCTTCCACCTTGCTTTTATAAATCAGTGAGACACATTTGCACTGGTTACTCAACTTGAAACTTGGATGAAAGCAAGTCGGAAGAAACCAAGGGTGTTATTACCACGGTGGATGACGCCATAAATCGAATTTTTCAAAGAGCGATATCTTGGTTAATATTGGACGTAGGAAGTTCCTGTTTGGTCAGCTGATATCATTATTTTTAGCTAATCTACGAGCATCAAGCATCAAAACACAATTATGTAGCCAGCGCAACTGGCCCTTTACGGATCCGTCATCCCTCCTCGCCGTACCTAATACAATTAGGTGATTTTTTGTTCTAGGCTCTTAAGGGGTTGATCGCGGTTTTGTCCGAAAGTGGCGAGTTGAGGTGTGGAGTTTTGGGCACGGAGCCTTCGCTTTTTGTCGCCCCACCGTTGAAGACGAAAAGCGCGACTCACCAACAAAATGAGACAAAATTAAAGCAGCTAAAAGAAGAGATTAAATACCACGCATCTGCAGGAGCAGGTAATAAATGCAAATATCTTTCCGCGTCATAGGAAAGTGCACGGTTTAAGTATATGGACTTATTGAGAAAATTGACTAACAATCAAAAATAACAAACAACAATTCAAAATATGCGCCAAAAATCGTGCTATATAAAACTGATCAACTCAGGAACGGTCTGTTTAGGGGTGCTAGGGTGCTTCAGCCTCCCAAAAGTTCTAACGGGTTGCTTAGAGGGCCTCTACAGAACTCCTGTAGGTGCCCCCAAAAACTTGAAAATCAAATAAAGGAGGACTTAAGATTAGTTAGTGGGGCCCCACCCGAGAGATTGGACCCCGAAAACCCATGAGCACCCCAAGAATTTTTAATCAGCCAGACCGACACTCGATAAACATGCCGTTAATTCTCTTAAAAACTTTGAAATTCGTTTTCCGACAGCGGAATTGACGTCATATGAGTGATGAATTAAAACAAAACGCATTTTGTTTTTTGAGGGTTCCGAATCTGGAAAAGTAATAAAGAATAAAAACTATTGGGAGGGATCGAACCCTCAAGAGGACCGAAATAATGCTCCTAGAAAGTTAGATGCGTCAATTCAGGAAATTCAGGGGGGGGGGGGGGTCCGCTGAGTGGAGAATGTGCCCAAAAGGGCGCGGAACTACGACAAATTTCAAAGAATGCCCTAAAATCGACAAAAATTTACCAAACTTTCTGCGTAAAAAGATCAACTTAATATTAGGATGGCTACCTTTCACAAAGTCAAGATCTTTTCAGATGAGCCTTATTGAAATTATTCCAATTCTCCTGTATTTCAGATCTTCGAAATAGTAGCAGCACTTCTACAGACAGTGAGCTGAAGGCGTTGTATAAGTGTGTCTTAAATTCCGATGAGAATACTTGTCAAATACTACTGGAACTATCCCCGAAGTCCTCCCTCAGTGATATTCAAATTTCATACGAGGCAACACCACCGATATGTTTTCACGCACCCGTTCAAAAATTGCCCATTCTTTGTAAGTGATATTGATGCTCCATTTGTCACTTTCAGGTGAAATCAAGGTTTATAAGTTTTTCCACTTAATCTCGATAGAAAAACTGAGTTTCAGTAAAAAAAATTATGAAAAAAATAAAAAAAGTCACGGAAGCCATACTTTCGTAAGGTCGGCTTTTTACCAATTTAATGTGAGTGGTAAAGCTCAAATATTTTTGGCGTCCATCTAATAATTATTTTCTCGTTATAGTACCTCTTTCAGTCTTTTCCAATGGAACACTAAACATTGTGTTTTTTGTTTAATCTTCTGAAAGTACCAGAAGGGTGCCAAAACCCTGCACAACCCCGCGTTTAAAAGTCCATATATAAAGACTAGAAGGAATTTCAAACGTGCTGAAATTACGGGAAAATAATGACAGTGAAGTACTGCGACAGTCAAATCGTCATCTCCTCTCATTTTCCATTCATGTCTGGTAAATCAAAACATATTTCAATGTGGAATTGTTGCTTGTTTACTAAAGTTATAATATGAATGAGATTCGATTCTTTGATTCTGAAGTTACAGTTTCGACTCCCCTATACTGTTTTCATACGTGAGGAGCAGAAAGACATTTAATGGAAGTCCAGTATAGAGTCCCTTTATACTGGGAGTTAAGACAACCTCCCCTCATGGAGTCACAAACGGGAATAAAGATTACACAAATTGCTGGTTTTTCGTAATCTTTGATCGGCTCATTCTCAAATTTCTTTCTCCGTTCCCTCTCTAATTTTGTTCCTTGCCGAACCCGTTTTTCCCCGGTTCATTCCAGATTATAATCTATTTGCAATCGGTGAAAATATAATCTTTATTCCCGTTTGTGACACTGTGGAGGCCTAAAATACCGGGACCAACCAGAAATGGATTCACATTGTCTTAACTCTCTGTATAAAGGGACTCTAGTCCAGGAAACCTATGCTCGCCTCTGATTGGTGCCGGATGACATCATTCGGTTTGGCGCGAAACCGGGGCGTCTAAAATTTGCGAAAAAGTTGGCCTTTTTAAACGGCGTATTTCTCGGTTTCTGAGTTACTTCTCCGCGTTTCTAATGTGCTCATCGCACCGTGTTCTACACGTCATTTACTTTCAGAACAAAGTACACGCAAATCGAAATTCGTTCATGGTTTAATGACCCATTGTATAAGTTGAATTGTCACTGATTTCAGGTGATAAAACTATGATAGAAAATCAAGTGGTACTAGACTACAACTACGATATCGCTGTTCCCAGCTCCTGCGAACTGCTAGTGTTTATAAGTTACTTCAATAGTAGCGGGCTTCCAAAAGTTCTGCGACAATCGACGAATGTGCCAGATCAATTTATTTTTGATTCATTTTTTTCTGCGAACGATACCTCGCAAAAAACGCCTGGCGTGTCCACAATAGGCAACTTGCTCAGCGTCACCCTGACTGCTGCTCAATCTATTGCTCTTCCAATTTTGTTCTCAGGTAAGTCGCCACGATCAGTAACCGATTTATTATTGAAACAAATGGAGGAAATGTAATAAAAGTAATTGGACACAACATAACATTTCAGAGGAGGTCCTTGCTCAAGCCATCTTTTTACAACCGTTAGCAGCATATCAAGTGCAGCAGGTCCATTCTTATGTATTTCAAATGCAAAATTAAGCTTGTGGCGATAGAAAAGTAGTATAACTCCCGTTGAAAATCCAGCCTCCTATTCTTCACTTATCGAAAAGAACTCAACGCCGAAAATAATAAGAAAAAGAAAAAAAGCTAATTTAGTCGAAAATTTTAGAAGGATAATTTTGTTCTGCGCATCTTACGGTTTCCAAAAGGAACCCGGTAATCGAAAGTATGGCACTTTAAGTCAATCAATGCGGCACAATATGAAAGTTCTGAAATCTTGGATTTGGACAGACGAAATGGATTTGGACGACGCATGTATATCCAAACGAAGAAATAGAAATGGGGGAAAATATAGCTATAAAAGATGCGGATATCCCTTATAACCATTTTTCCGTAATAAGACGGAATTTTCATTTCCCCCTAAGTTGGGCAGTTTCGAAGCAAGACATTCAAATATTATCTCCATGGACCACTGCCCTTTCCCAGGGACGGTGATATTTAGTGGCGTGGCGTGTTTTGCGATAGATCGATTGATCTGCGCCATTTAAGTTCGTGGAAAAGGATCGATAGACAGGGTGTTCGCAACGAACACCTTAATGATGGATTCTTTACCGTAGCTTTAAATGGGAAAATATCGATAATCGACCATTCATGCCTCTCCATCGGATTTGGATCGTATTCGATACACCAAACAGGTAAGATTCTATCGATATCGATTGAATCAGCATGTATAAACATAGCCTCAAAAATCAACTGAGTAATCTGAGGAAACGGGTTTCTTGTATTAGGCTTTTGATTCTTATAAGTATGAAATGGTAATGAAAAGTGAAATTTTCAGGAATTTTCTCATTTTCAGTTTTTCCTACTTGAATCCTAGAATTTTTGTTTGAGGTTACTGTTCTATTACTTAGAACCAAACGATACATCGAACTACTATCGAATACTATCTGTTTGTATGTTTTAACAGTTTTTCTTAAGAGTCTCCACTGACGAGTTTCTAAATTTGTTTATAATATTACGTTAGCAGCCACACTGAAAACAAATTCTCGGCGTTTTTACCAAGGTCCGTTGGTACCTTAACCATTTCACTTTTTTAACCAATTATTATTGACCTAAAAACCGGTATTTTTACTGTTTTTTCAGGTAAGAATACCACTCTTATTGGTAATCAATTCCCGGTAACTTTGCCATTTTATCTCGGTAATTTTACCATAGTCGATAAAAAATATTGGCGTTTTTACCAAGGTCCAGTAAAATTACCGAGAAAGTTCAATAATTTTACCGAGATTTCTCGGTAAAATTACCAACTCCATAAATGGTAATTTTACCAAGATAAAACTGGGATCAAATAGAACCCTAAATTCTTGGTAATTTTACTCTTTTCTTAGTAAATACACCGAGATTTTTTTTTTCAGTGCAATGCTACTAGGGACTTCGTCACTGTTTCAGAGTTCGTGAACGATAGGTGGGAGGCGGCAGGATGTACCGATTCACGCGCCGATTTCATGATCCGCAGCCCCACAGGAGATGAGACTCCTCTCAGATTCACAGTCAGCTTGGAGGAAGGTGCCAAGTACAAAATTGAATCGAATTCGACGGCATGTCTCTCGCTCGGAGCCCGAAGTCTCGTAGAACGGTATCAGCGACATCTGCTTAGCGAAAAGCTCTCTCGAAGTCATTCTGGGAACCAGCCGCTGACCTACATGTCACATTTACCCGTGGATAGCTTCCTCAAAGTTGTCGACAAATACCATGGACTTGTTACTCGGCAAAAAGATTTAGAGGTATTTTATATGTCCATCAGATTCTTAGCCCATTTGTGCCTCTTTTTGGCCTGTGTCTGAGCATGAACCTATCTCCTTAAACAGAAGATCGTATACAAATCTGGTGAAGAAAGAGACAGCAAATGTAGAAAAAAAGTGTCCGAGGACAGACCTTGAAGCATTTTACAGTTTTTTGCCAAAAACATTTATAAAAATTCGTGCAAATTGATAGTATAGATAGGTAAGGTTTTAAAAAGCTTATAATGAAACCGTAAGCAAATAATTTTTTAGAGCTACTTACGGCTTTGCCTGTTTTGGGAAAAACTGGCGAAACACCTGTAAAAATAGCGTTTTGCTGAGATTACACCTACGTTGAGTCAAATTATGTTATTTTATATGAGCTCGCCACCACTTTTAAGTTTCAGAAGTTGTTTGAAACTCTCCTGTCTGGAAAATGTTAAAATCGTGTTGGAATCCATCCCTGACAACTTTTTCCACCTTCTTTTTGAAACCACCTCAGAAATTCTGTCTCTCTTGTCTAATAATTGCCCAGTGCACTTATTCTTTTTTACAAGCCTACGTTCTTTACTCAGACAAAATTGGACGTATGTATGCTAAACTGAACTATGTGCATAGGATTTGCGCGTCACATAGTTCCTTTCCGCATATATATGTCCAATCCTATCCAACCTATAATAGTTACCGGATCTATGTCAGCAATTCTTTCGTTCACGATAACTATCGTTAGATTTACGTTAGCTGTCTCAAATTTTGTAATTTTGTCCATTTTGATCTGATGAAGAACTATATAGATTTTCGGTTAAATCACATTTACCGTTTACTTATAAACGGTAATTAACGTAAGTGCCCTACTTACGCTGTTATATCGCTAGACGAATAGAGGTTTAGAGAGGCCAGTCATAATGCCTTCAATTTTTTCATGCATATTTTAGGGGAAAATGAAAGACGACGTTGCAGACTTCCTTAGAAATTTGATTTTTCTTTCAAGAAACTGGTCAACATAAAACTTAAATTCTCCGTGATTTTTCGTATTCGATAGCAGAAGATTTGGTTCAAAATTTAAAGACGTAAATTTGGATTGTTTCTCATGGAAGAGATGAATTAAGAACGGAAATTTTGAAACACCGCAATGGAGATACGTGGTTTCGCACTTCAGTCGGACCGACACGGACACCCAACAAGCTTTAAATAGTTGCATCAAGTCCCCGTCACCGCCGGCCAACGCGTTTGTCGATAGAATCAACTACAGGTATTATGCGTAAGAAGTCAGAACGCCTTCAATTTTTTGAACGCAATACGGACATCCGTCGAGGTTGTATAGTTGTATCAAGGCGCCGTAGCAATCGCGTCCCATTCTTTATCGTTACAGACGAATATAAGTTGAAAGAGGCGAGTCATAATGCCTTCAATTTTTTCATGCATATTTTAGGGGAAAATGAAAGACAACGTTGCACCATTTGCGACGTTGCAGACTTCCTTAGAAATTTGATTTTTCTTTCAAGAAACTGGTCAACATAAAACTTAAATTCTCCATGATTTTTCGTATTCGATAGCAGAAGATTTGGTTCAAAATTTAAAGTCGTAAATTGGGATTGTTTCTCATGGAAGAGATGAATTAAGAACGGAAATTTTGAAACACTGCAATAGAGATACGTGGTTTCGAACTTCAGTCGGACCGACACGGACACCCAACAAGTTAAATAGTTGCATCAAGTCCCCGTCACCGCCGACCAACGCGTTTGTCGATCGAATCAACTACAGGTATTATGCGTAGGAAGTCAAAACGCCTTCAATTTTTTGAACGCAATACGGACATCCTTCGAGGTTGTATAGTTGTATCAAGGCGCCGTAGAAATCGCGTCCCATTCTTTATCGTTACAGACGAATATAGCTTGAGAGAGGCCAGTCATAATGCCTTTAATTTTTCATGCATATTTTTTGGCAAAATGACAGACGACGCCACGAAATATAAAGCAAAATATAAGACGAATTATAAAGCGCCAGTGACGTCAGTGGCGACGACAGAGACGACGATCTGAGAATCTGAGCCTTTACCCTATGAGTCCTGTCCACAACGCTCTTGTCATATATCCACGGCTCACGAGTAAGCATATTTCTGCGCTTAGTTTCTTTTGATTTCATGTAAAAGCCCACTTTTCCATTTTTCCAAAAGAAATCACGCTCACTTTTACATTGGTTCATATGCAGCTCAAACAAGCACACCCCACCTTTCCCACACGTCTCAGGTTCCTCTTAGCATGAATACGTCCAATCCATACTGGACCAACTTTTTGGGCTCTGTAGAATGATTCCAAGTTGAAGAGCCGTAATTATTCGTGTATAAGCTCCATGGACTTTTTGGTGGAGTTGCGAGGAAAATTATCTGAAAAATTGGAAGAAAAATATTCATAAGCTAACAAGGAAATTCCTGTTTTATCAAAGAAAATTTGGCATCGCCTGAAGGTTCATACGGTCTTTTTCCTTAGCACGACAGTACAGCTCTCAGACACAGAAAGTTTTTCAGTGTGGCGTCTTTCCATCATGTGACACACAGAGTCGGAGGACACGCATGTTTTTATCACCGTTAAATTTACGGACAGCGATCTCGCGACCATAAATTCCATAAATAGAAGAGTTTGCGTAAATCGCGCGACGTGTAAACAAGCCACCCGAAAACAAAGCTTCAATTCCTCATTTATCCCCGGAAAATGAAGAAGCGCTTGATTTATATAAGTCGACCTCGTGGATACGAATTACGAGGAGGAGGATTTCAATAAATCCTCACAGTCATCCGCGTGGAACTCGGAGGCGAGGCGCGAATGATCGATTACCGATATTTCCCCATTTGAAGTTGTGGAAAACAATCGATTATCGAGGTGTTCGTTGCCAACACCCTGTTTATCGATACTTTTCCATAGGTTTAAAAGGCAGATCAATCGATATATCGCAAGCCACCGGCGGAACTCATCAAACGCATACACTCAATATTTATCGAGCTTTTCCTTCTGAAAACAAACTTCCCGCGTTTTTTCCCAGACTGAATTGGCGGAACTCACTTGCCAGAGCAGAGCGGTGCAGAAGCGGTTGTTGATCAAACTCAAGGACAAAAAAATCGACTCTCTAAGAAGTCTCGAGTCCCTCCACGAGGATACGCACTGGAGCATTTTGAAGCTCTCCCGAGAAGTCGAGACCCTGCAACAGGTAATGCCTTTACTCGCCATCATAAATCACAACTTCACGCACAGAGAAAAACTGTTTGGTTACAGATATGTCGAAGGTAATTGGTCAAATCAGGCATTTTATCAAATTCCTAGGCCGGTAGTCAAATTTTGATAGTGGAATTCTGTAAATTTATGGCGAGGACTTCACGGGGTTTCCAATATTTTGGGAAAAATAACTCTTTAAATTCGCGAACTCTCCTTCTTCCTTCCTTTTCACATGCCTGCAGTACATTTAAATGTTAAAATTTCAAAAATTCTATGTTTTATGATGTGCTGAAAATTTCATGAGAAATGTGCATTCAGGATCTGAAAATCGTTCAGAGTACTATTGTGTGCTGCATATTTTTACAGAGAATTATTTCTTTCAGGTGCAACGAATTATTTTGTATAAAATTAGGATAAAAAAAATCAAAATTTCAATCTACGTAAGAATATTTGACTATTTGCCTAGGAATTTGACAAAATGCCTGATTTGACTATTTGCCCGCGACAGATACACTAAACTTCGGTTCGTAGTAAAATCTGAACTTTTTTCCAGTCCAAGTAACCAAACTTTTTGGTCACTGAAATGAAATTTCGGGTCCCATGACCGAAAATTTTAGTTACCTAAACAGCAAAAATTCATGAACTGAATGTGTTCGGTATCTATTTTTCAGTAAAATTTTTTTCTCAGTATGCTGTTTGTCTCAAATTATGCGCTGAGAAACTTTTTTGAATCACTGGAATGCATACATAAAATTCGCTCCTACAATGCACTTTAGCGTTCTGCACCACCAAACCCCCCCTTGTGTCCATCTTTCCATAGGTTAGCGAGCAACTGATAACGGCCTGCCGCCATCCCTTCATGGGATGGAAATCACTGATATTCTTTTAAAAATAATAGTACACTTCTGTATTGCTCCGTAAAATGAGAGGGAAAAAGATAAAAAAGTGGAATTCTTCTACAGGAAATATTTAATGAAATCGCCTGGACGAAACTAATTGAAATTGACTACAATAAATTAAGAATTAAAAAAAATTAATACCTCATCAACAACTAACAGCAAATCAAAAAAATACTTTGAACTCCCCTCCCTGACTCCAACCCATCGACTGTCTTAATCCCCTTCCTCACCCCGTTCATCGAACGTCTTAAATATTATTTTATTAAAATAGAGAACATATGAACATGGATGCTTGAAATTGGAGGGTTTAATTTAATCTATTTTATTGTACGCCCAGGCTGTCAAGGGCTGCAGTAGTGAATTACACGGATTCCTAGGACTGTTGATTTTTCTGCTCAGTTTAACCCCGCACATTTCGGACGAGGAGTTGAAGGACTTCGAACTGGCAACGTCTTCCACTTTTTATAATTCAGAGAGTCAGGTACAATCATTTTCAATCATTTGAGTGTATTTTGAACTCGATATAAGATACATCGACGGTGTAAGTAGGCAATCACATGACTCGGTTTGCGACGTCGCAGATTTCCTGTCATACTTTATTTTTTGAACGGAAAACTACTCAACGGCTATTCTTTAAAACTACCGTGATTTTTCGTCTTTGTGCGAAGAAAATTCTGCACATATTTCAAAGAATGATGTCGATTTGTTCTCTTTCAAAAAAATAATATAGAAGCGGAGATTTTCAGACACCGCAAACGAGCTGTGTGATTGCCGACTTACACCGTCGATATCTTTTGATTACGGGAGATCCTGTTTTCTTTGATGAAACTAACTTACATTATTACTTGTTAAAAAGTACAAAAATATTTATCTTGAATGTAGTGTTTCAAACTCCCATTCATATTTACAAAAAAAATATTATGTTGTCTAATTTTTTCAGAAGCCCGGCAAAAGGAAGACCCCCACCTCTTCCATTTTCATAACCCAAAATTCTACTACCAGGGTCTTTTTCAGCGATTTCTTTTTTATAATCGATGAATACTCAATCTTCACCCACCTCGAGACTTTCCGCCCTAGATGGACCTCTTACACCCCTCCTTCTCCCCCAAAAATTTCTGGCTGCGGCATTATGAATGAATTTCGCATGAAACTTTATGCGGGAATTCTCTAAAGGCAAATGAAGAATATCGCAAAAAGTTACACGGGCTATAACACGACTCATTACCCTCAAAAAGATATGCAAATGGTTCTGCTCAATAAAACTGACACTTGGCCATCAAATTAAGATTGAAATTGTAACTTTACAGAATTGGCTTGATGTAACTTACTCTGCACTACAATATATCTTACAAAAAAGCGAGAAGTCGGACACTTTCGTGGCGAAACCTTTCGAAAATATTGAAGAGTTTAAGCAGATCTTGATGCAAGCAATCAATAGATTGAGCAAAGGAATTGCACATCAGATTTTAGAAGAACAAAGAGGTAAGGTCTTCCTTCAAACAAATATCAAATCACACTTAAGAACGAACATCAGTTTTATCAAGAACGCATTGTTTTTTCAATATTGCTATCCTCTAAAAGTATGTCATTATAGGAATCATTTTTTCGATACGTGAAAAAGGACGTGATGATAAATCGGAGAGGACCATTTCTGATTAAATTTAATAAAATATTATCATCAAGATGAATTTCTTCTTTAAGTTAGTTCTTTAAGAAAGTCTTCTTATAAGAGAAAAAAAAATGCCTCTGGTCCAGGTCTTAATTTCAACACGTGTCATGATCAAATCATCAGCCTTTTTCCCTCTAGTTTAAAATCGAGAGCTACACTACATATTAATGATGAGCATCCGCATCCTGCCGCGTGCGTGGTGAAAGAAACTGTATAAATTGTAGTATCAGGCCGTATTGAAGGCACTTTTTCTTTCATTGTCCTCCAATATATCGGCGAAATTTTTCGATTAATTTTCCTCGTTACTCATGTAATCATTTCTTCTATCAATGACTTGAACAACCACTCTGCTTCCATCTTCCAAGCTGATATTTGGATGTAATATATTTAATAATCATAAATAATTCATTTTTCAAGACCTTTAGAAGCACGTGAACCAAATAATTATAATCGAAAGAGAGACTTGAAACGCATCCTTAATTAATTTATTCTAGATGGTGATGTTCCTAATTTAAACATTTTAGTGGATTTTATGGTCCAAGACAGCTTTTAAAAACAAATCGAGGGATTGAAATTTCATGCTTTTGTAATGAAACAAAGTTTAAACCAAGCCCTGAAAAGTATTTGTTTCGTTATGATTTGTTTCGAAGAATCCCGGGTTGGCACAAGATCTTATTTCCTTCTAATAATTATTTTAAGAGCGCGGCCGATGGTCTACACCCGATATTTGCATGCTCTCAACATTTTCTAAAAAGAGTATCACTTTAACTCCACCAATTTATTTCTCAGGCGTGTTTCCTATCCTGGAAACTGACAACGAGGAGGAATCAGCCGACGAGACTTCGCTCACGGCTCAAAAACCCTTCAACAGCCAAGCAACCGGTGAGTTTTTGAGAGTGGAAAGTTTGAATTGTACAGAATCATTCAGATATGAATTATCAGCCAGCGGTAAAGTATTACGTAAGAAATCATAAAAACATGCTATGTTCCTAAGTATGCAAGACGTAGCATTACATATCGACGGTGAAACGACCAAACCACGTATCTCGTTTGCGGTGTTTAAAAATCTACACTCACATTTGATTTTTTTTGAAGTAGACCAAATCAATATCATTCCTTGAAATTTTCACGGAATTTTCTCCGCACAAAGAGGAAAAATCACAGAAATTTTCAAGACTGGATGTTAAGTAGTTTTTCATTTAAAAAATAAAGTATGACAGGAAGTCTGCGACGTCGCAAACCGAGATACGTGGTTTGGTAGTTTCACCGTCGATATATAAAGCTACGAGCAAGCCAGAAACACCTCATCACAAGTTGGGGATATTTGGACTTAATTTCTTGTAGAACCGCGTCTACTTCTGATTTTTTCCTATCATCATAATATACATAGCACTTACCCACTGTATTCTAAAGCCCAATTCACACGGTTCACTTTTTCATCAAACTTTTTCTCCGACTATGTTGAATGGAAATTTTTCCCATAATATTCGAATTACAAAATAGGTATACATTTTCACTCGATGAAGTTCAAAGTAAAGTTAAATGAAAAGGTAAAACTTGCGAATTAGGCTTCACAGATTTTACTTTCGGGAAATTTATCAAAATTCACGGAATGAATCGAGGGGAGGTTTCACCCTTATAACTCGTGGACCAAGGTCTTCTCCATGCTTATAGTACTCTTCATATCCCTTCTGAAAAATCAAACTATTTTTTCTCCATCAAACAATTTTTTTAAATGTATTTAATTTTTTCCATTTTTTCAGGTGTAATGAAATTGTCACCTGTCGCCGAAACAACGCAACCAAATTCTCTGGATGAGATATTTTTTTGACACAAGCAAAATTCGGGGCCTACGCATATACTCACACGGGTGGGATCTATACATACCTTTTTTGTATCATTCTTTTTGTATCATTTTTCTCTAGAAGTTTTTAAAAGTCATAGCAAAGCTCGTGTATTCTTGATTTTTGCTTATACCTTATAGATGTTAATTAATATTTTTATTGAAAACTTTTAATAAAACATTTTCCGATACCTCCGATTTTATTTTCTTCGATGTACTCCTAATTACTGAAGAGACACATTTTTGGGGAGCGTGATTCTTATAAAGTCGGCTCATCATTTAGATATTTGAGCTTTCAATTAAAACATGTCCTCAGTGTTTCGAGCAATAATATGACGGATTATAGGCTGCTCGCAGATTAATATATTTTTTTTTTGCCATTAGAGGGCGTAAAATTACATGACACTCCTATTTGTGCTCTCAGATGTCTTCAAATTATATGCGGGATTCTCATTTCTCAACCAAATTATATGTGGGATTCTCCATTTTTGATTATTCAACGGAACTCTACAGAAATTGCTCCACTAAACATTTTGTTTTCGTCGACTAATGTTTCGCTTTCTATTGACGGTTACGCATTGATAAAAATCGGAAATGCGTTTTTCAGATTACGATGATAAAAGTCTTCAATGTTTTTTAATGTTTTCAAGGATACCCAACCATTAGATCCTATTGAAATTCTCTGTATATTTTCATCGCTTTCTCTATGTAAATCACAGCCAATTGCAATGAAACATTTCAATTAGTTTTCTTTGATTAAGATCGAGTCGGACGTTTTTTAAGGTGATTCGACGGTCGCTATTTTTTGCCAGAGCGACGAAAGATATATCGCATCAATTCGTTTCATAATTTAAGGTACTTATCATTTTTTTTGAATTTTGAGATCGCACTGCTGTTGTCATTATGAGACTAAAGAATTCTAAGGAGACTAAGAAAAATATAGCATTCGATACTAATATCGAAAGTGCA